TGCGGCCCGTAAGCGGAACGCCCTCTAAGGCGACTTTGGCTGACGGTAAGCCGGCGTCTCGGAGGAGGCTACTGGTTGGCGTTGTCCTCCAGACAGGCAGAACGGCCCTTGCTGCCGCTGTAATGACGCTGTCGATCTTCTGCACGAGCCCCTTTTGGCCTGTGTTGACGGGTCTTCCTTGGAGAGGCGGATTCGTGTCTGTCTCCGCTTGGCGTCTCGAAGCCGGCTTCGTGATACCTGCGTACCATGTTTCGGCGCCGAAGAGCGCGATCGGCAGTACGCAGGAGACGACGGCTTTTCGCACGGCGGCCGCTGGGAGTCCCCTCTTTGTGTTCGTAAGCTGTCTCAGATGTTGAGCTGCCCTCTTTGCTGCAGCTACTTTTGCGTCGACATGGTGCCGGAAGGACAGTCTCTTGTCGAACCAGACACCCAGCCAGCGTACAGGTTTCGTCGAGGCCTTGACCACCAAATCCCCCGCCCGGACCTCTGGCAGCTCCGCTGGCTGGCCGTGCTTCCTAGTAAAGTGGATGACCTCGCACTTGCTCGGGTCAAAGGAGACCTTGTTCTCCAAGCCCCATCTGAGAATGCCGGCTGCGCTTCGGTTGAGTATTGCGACGTTGCTCTCCAGGGAGGGGCTGATGGCCAGAGTGGCGATGTCGTCCGCGTACCCGAATCGCGCGTTCGGGTCGTCTTCAAGTATCTCTGCGATGTAGAGCAGAAAGGCAATGGGAGATAGTGGTGACCCCTGAGGCAGCCCGCATGACAGCGGGAAGTACTCCGTTGTGCTTTCTTCCAGTCGGACTCTAGCGGTGCGGTTGCAGCAGAAGCTAAAGATCAGTCTGGTCAGGCCATGTGGCCATCCCTGCTGACGCAGTCTAATGACGAGCCGGTTCCGAAGGACGGAGTCGAACGCCCCTTTTACGTCCATAGTCAGAAGTGTCGCCGTGAGTCCTTTTAGGAGGGCCATCTCGATGTCGTGGGTGAGGCAGGTCGTCAGATCGACGGCTGACCTGCCTTGTAGAGCCCCGATCTGTTGCGGACTGATGATGCGCTCGACAATCGCCAGGGACGCCATCCTTCTGGCTATCAGTCGCTCTAGTCCCTTGCCCAGGCACGAGAGGAGCGCGATCGGCCGCCAGGACCCGGGCTTGGAGGCATCCCTGCCGGCCTTCTGGATCATGACCACCTCAGCTCTGCGGAAGGGCAGAGGAAAGTGGCCGGCCCGCATACAGGACTGGAATAGCTGCCTGACCGGTTCCGAGATGACATCCCAGCATGCCTGGAGGAGGCGTGTTGTGATGCCGTCCACACCAGGGGTCGTTGTCTTTGTTAAGGTGGCCGTCTTCACTTCTTCTCCGCTAACATTGTCCTGCCAAGTAATCGCTCGCCTCGGGACGACGGGTACGTCAAACGGGTCACCCGGTGCGTCATCTTCCGCACTAAACCTGTCGAGAAGGGCTCCCCGAAGCGCTTGAGCCTTTTCGTTAGTATCCTCGATCGTCTGGTTGTCCACAACCAATGGGGGTGCTCTGGTCAGTAGGCTCGCCTTCCGCCAACCCATGATCTGGTACAGGTCCCGGTCTGAAGCGACTCCATCGATCTTTCCGGGCCCAGTATGCTCGCTTAGCCTTCCTCACCGTGCTCAGGAACGCCTTTCGTTTCTCCATTAGATAAAGGTGCGCATCTTGCTCCGTCTCCCAGGCTTGTTGGTTGCGGGCAGCACGGTATGCTCTGTGGGCCTCTGCGCATTCCTCCGTCCACCAAGCCGCGCCTTTACCATGTTTTCCTCTCTTCTTGCCGACCGCCTCAATGGCTCGGGAGAAGAGCTCGACGATGTGACTTGCCTGCCCGTCCAGGTCTTCCGGAGTAGGTTGATCCCCCAGATTGGGCATCGCAGCTAGCCCCCCTTCGATCAGGTCTCTCAGCCGAGGCAGCGCCGAGTCGGGCACTGACAGTGGCCGTGGCTGCGGGTGGCCCTCTCCCTGTGACACTGGGCGTTTGAGTAGTGGTATGACGGCCACGATGGCCTCGTGGTCAGCTCCCGGGTGTAGCTGTGGGCTGACCTGCGCGTGCGCAAAAGGGATATTAGAGAAAGCCAGGTCCAGGACATGTCCGCAATCCTGGGTTGCCACCCCAACTTCGCTGATAAGAGAGAGATTGTGGCCGTCTGCCCAGCCTGCGATGTCATCTCCCCGGTTCCCGTTCCTCGTCCCGGGCTCCCAAGAGTAGTGATGCGCGTTGAAGTCACCCGCGATCAAAGCTCGCTCCGGGGGTTTGAGTTCTAGCAGTATCCCTGTTGTGCGGCTGTGGGGGTCGCGGGGTTGTCTGTACACGTTGACGATAGTCGTCGTTTTGGTCGACCACCAGCCACAGTACGTCTCTCGTGTGGACAGGCCTCTGCTGCTCCACCGTCATCCCTATCCCTTTGCGTGTGTAGGTCAATACTCTTGGTCTGGTTCCTTCGCTGTCCCAGAAGTCGACCGGGACGAAAGAGTCGAAACCCGGGTGCGTGTTCAGTTGCACGTTTCCGTCCTTCCAGCCCGTCCAGGGTTCCTGGACGAGGACCACATCTATCTGAGCCTCCCAGCAGAGCTGCAGGAAAGCCGTGTGCGCCGGGGAGATCTTTCCGACGTTGCCCTGCGCAACGCGTAGCATCCGTGGGGTCGCCGCTCTCGGCTTACGTCTCCGAGTCGAGTTCGAGGTGGGTGTAGGCATTCGCGACGTTGTAGTTTGGCTTCTGTGCTGCCCGTTGGCTCCTGCTTGGCATGGGTAGCACGGGACGGTCGATGGAGGTGTTGTCGGGGGAGTCTTCGCCTTCGCCTTCGTCCGCCTCGTCTTCATCCATGCTGCTGCTGTCAGTGCTTCCGTCACCGAGGCAAACGATCGAGCTTGCGGAGGGCGTTCTCGTGCGCGCGCGCTTGGCGCCGGGTTGCTGGTTCTGGCTGGTGGAGGTAGGGACGCCTGCCGCCTCCTGGCTACTGTCGGATCGAGTAGCCTTGTACAGAGTGTCCGATGCTTTCTGGCCGGCCTTCCGGATCCGAGCCCGCTCCTTTCGACCGGGAAGGGAGACGACGCCGTTTACGGCCGAGGGCCTCGCTGGGCAGTCTGTGTGGCTGGCTTGGAAGGGGCCGCAGCAGTTGGCACATTGGGGCCTGGCCATGCAGGGTCCCGTTTCGTGTGAATCGGAAGGTCTTCCGCAGTTGCTGCAGATCGGTCGTCGTCCGCAGAACCGGTTGGAGTGGTAGCCCTGGCAGCCGGGGTCGTGTCGGATGAGCGTCCTTCGTTTCTTGACGGGCAGAGATCTGCCGCTTTGGTTGAAGAGCCTGAAGGGCGTGACCTCTGATGTGAATGATATGAGCCAAGATATTTCGTTCGTGACTGGGTTGGGCCCAAGGCGGGACGGTCGAGCAAGGACAGGCTTCTGTCCTGTCTGTGCGAAGACCTCATCTTCAACGAGTGTGGCTGGGTCCAGGACGTCCCCGCCAATGCTGTGTAGTTTTGTTGGGCATCGCGGCACAACGTAAGTGTACCACTTGATAGGCGTCTCGACCTGGTGGGCGCCGAGGCATTCCGCCAGCTTTGCCTTACTTGCAAGTAGTCTTTCCTGTATTTGCTTGTTTCGCGGCTTCAGAGAGTAACCTGTGCTGATATGGTAGACGTGGGGAAGGTCCGCTAGCCCCAGGCCAACGGCCTTACAGACGATCTGTCGTACGGCGAACGGTGCGATCTTCCGAGCGGCCGCTAAGCTTTCTTCCGGGACGCGGGCAAAGATGCGGAGGTCCTCCTTCGGCTGCGCCTGCGGCTGATCCTCGGCGGGGAGTGTGGCCTTCGGGCGGGCAGAGCTCTGGCAGCTCTGGCCGCTCCGGGTCGCCGCAGTGGTGTTGCCCGCCATCGGTGCGACGACAGCCGCCCAACTCCGGGCCGCTATTGGGCTTGTCTCGTGATTGATCAGTCTCTTGAGGGTTTGAATGACATAGGCAGTGGCTTCTTTCGCGATCTGCTTTCTAGAACCGTCAAAGCTGGCGACAACGCTGTCGACGGACCGTGCAATGGTCAGAAAGACGTCTTTCCGTGCCTCGTACTGTCTAGCTTCTTCTGCAAGGGCTGTCAAGACGGACCCTGTGGCAGATCCGCTCGGAGCAGATGCGGTAGAGGCTGCGGGCCCCTCGGCCGAGGTAGGGGCGTCGGTGGTGGCATCAAGCTGGCTTCCCGTTAGGCTGGGCCGGGTCGGCTGTGCCTCGGCGTCGCGGCGTCGCTTAGCTCTTGAGGTGGGGTTCGGCTCCGGAGGTGTCCCGGAGCCTGGTTCGGGGTCGGCTTGGTCGGCCGACATCAGTCCGGTGCCCGACGGCGGCTGTGAGGCCATCGCGGATGCGGGCTCCGGCAAGGGGAGGTGAAGAGTTTTCGGCTGTTAGTAATTTGGTGGTAGGCTCACTCATTCACTAACAGCAGATGCCAAGAAAAATTAGGCGAGAGGGAAGTTGCTTGAAGCCATAAATGCCGCAACACAGTGAGGGGATCCGAATAGATCCTGCAATATCGGAGCCAACGCCCAGTATTGAGCCCCTGAATGCCACAAGAGCTCCCTCACCACCAGTCGAACCTCCGGCGGTAAGATTCGTCTTGTGCGGATTCAAAGTTCTACCGAATATGTTGTTCTCTGAGTCGGCGGTCTAATTCAATTCTTGTCAATAAACGACTGAACAAATATTTGAGTCGTTGTAGATAGTGCTGGACACGAACCATCATTGTCTGGGGAACGTTCGTTTTACAGTACAAAACGGCTCCAGCGTCCACGAGAAGATCCACCATCGCTGAATTAGAGGTAGGCAGTGGCCTCTTCAAAAACTCAACATAACCGACGGTAGCGTAATGATCTTTGATGACGAAAGAATCCTGCACCAATCAGTTCTGCAAGCTGAACCGGCGGACGAGGCTTTCTGGAGAAAAATACCTTGAGGCTAATTGGTAAGCCGTGCAACGGCCCAAGAAGCTCTCCAGTACGCTTGAAGTGCTGGTCAAGTTCTCGAGCTCTCGTTATTCCCTCGTCGAAGAAAATTTCAGTCAAGCAAGAAGTCTGGAGGATGTCAGTGACCTGTGAACACAACGCGGCGGTTGGAAGCTCCATAGCCCACGACGACGGAGCGGTGGTGGCGGTGTCCTTACAAGCTGCTGGGCGAGAGCAGCGCGCTTGCAAAATGCCACTGCCACTTCTTCAGATGTGAGTTCCTTTTGATGGATCTTGTCTAGCAACTCTCGTGCGTTGTAATTCCCTGTGATGCCGAGTTCCTTTTCGGTCAATAACGCCGACTTTTGAGCAACATCTCGGGCTATCAGTCGACCTTCCTCGGTAGTTCCCTTGCCCTGGAGTTTGGCTAGCTGATCATCAGGAAGCCTCCATTCGGGAGGAATGTTCTGTTGTTGCTTGGATCGATGGCGGGAAGCGATTGCTTCCCATTCCGTTGCGGCGGGCATCGATACTTCGTCTTACTATTGGGTCAATTATACAGGAGAGGGGTTGCGTACACTCGTGTTGAGATTGCATACGAGAGTTGAGAAGAACATGACTAATGCGCAAAAGAGAAAATTGGAACGCATCGTCTTTTCAACCCCAATGCATCTTGATGCTAGAGACGTTGCCGAAATGCGGATGGGGGCACGCATCCCGGCAGCTTGGTGTCGGCGCGTCCAATGGCCTAATAGAGAAGGAGATGCCGCCGGATCTTGGCTGGTTAGTTTTGCCGATGCCATCGGTTGCCGCGAGTCGAAAGTGTGATGCGTACTTGGTCTTTTTGCTTTGAGGAGTCGGCACATGCACTCGGGATATGGATAGGTGATCGCTCCACCGAGTCTGGAACAACTGCGTAACAAACCCCCTCTTATCAGCCTACGAATACCTTGGTTGTGAACAACTATTTAAAACTCCACCTCGAGCATTTGGTACAGGTCCTACTACGCCGTGCAAATCCCAAAGGCCCTTCAAAGTCGAACCCCCCTTTACTCACTTTGAACCAGGATAAATTCGGCAGGTCGACCCGCGCTCAGCGTACATCCTAGTCATGGCGCCGCCCGTCAGAAGCTCCGATCATGTCCCCTCCCCCGGAAACGCCTTCTCGCCTAGTGGAGTCGCTGTGCCACCCATGCGCATGCCGCATCTTGACTTTATCTATCGTATCGTCTGCGATATGGATCCCAACGTGTCCGAAATTGCAAACATCGATAACACGGGCGTCACCCGTCTTGTTCTGCCTATCTTGAGCGGGTCAGTCAAAGGCCCCAGGATTACGGGCAAGATTGTGGAGAGAAGTGGTGCAGACTGGGCGGAGCGCATCAGCCCTGACAAGGTTGGCACAGTTCAAGCAAGTTACCCATCAAGTGAGATTCACACGGCTTACCGCTACCTAGGTGTTCTCAAGGTTGCACGCTATGTATACTCTTCAGACCGATGATGGTATCTTCGTTCTCGTCAACGCGCATGGTGTTTTCCGCACTGGCCCTGGTCAGACAGAAAAGCTACCGCGCTCAGTGTGCCAAGATGATGTTGAATATTTCACGCACATCAAGTTTGAAGCACCAGGGGGAAGCCCTTACGACTGGATGAACGCCGTGGTCGCACTCGGGGTAATGACCATGTTTGAGGGGCGCCCGATCATTGACTGCTATCGACTCACGAACTTCCCCGGTGTAGCAGCGGAGAAGCTTTGAGGAGGATGGGGGACAGATTATCAGATATCGTCACTGGATTTTCCAGAAAGAAAGCAAGGCTTTCAGGTTCGCTCGTGTATAGCTGCGAACGTTGCAAGACACTGGTTCGATCACGATAAACCCAGCCAAGTTAAGCAATATCGAAACCGCGTATGTGTTTGATCATTGATGACTACTATCAAGACGGAGCCTGAGTTCCAGCAATAAGAAATGATGCCGCAGGTCGTAAATAAAGACAAATGTAACTCAGGTTGGCAAAATGAGAGTACATATGTACCCAGCACACTAAATCTGCATGCGCCTCTCCACAAGTCGCAAATATCGAGGAGCCAGAGCAGTTCGAATGCGCTTGCCCCAGATGATCATGGGAACGTACAAAAGACCGATGAGAAGAGAAATAACGCCGCTCAGAATGTACATGTTGCTAAGGCCCATGTTTGACATCCAAGGCACAAGCGCCGAAGGGACACCCACGCTAACAGCATTGCGAACAAATGCAATACCAACAAAGGCTTCGGCAGTCAGCTGCAAAACGACGCGTTAGTCAAAGCCACCCGATGGACGATCCATAGATTTACCTCTCGGTAAGTATCAATAACAAATGTGAAGGTGATATCCCCGTTTGCACCGAGGCCAAACGCGAACAATGCACCGCCCATGCTGGGGAAGATCCAATGCATTCCCTAGAGCTATTAGTCCCACCAACCCGATAGTGCATCGTTAAACATCAGCGGGATTGTGACTTACCCGATCCGCAGTGACTCCAAACATGACAATACCACCAGCCATTGTGATCACGGGTAGAAATAAGGGATACAAGCGCATTTCTGGCTCGAAAACTCCTCCATTCCTCTTCGCCAAGCGTAAGACAGTCCAGTCCGCTAAAGGTCCCCCGTAAATGCTGCCGAAAATATTTCCAACAAAAGGTCCGAGGTTCATGTATCCAATTGCTGCAGTATTGAAGTTGTAGGGGGGCGCAGAAAATACGACGGACACGACAGACATAAACAACTTCCCTCTCGCCTAATTTTTCTTGGCATCTGCTGTTAGTGAATGAGTGAGCCTACCACCAAATTACTAACAGCCGAAAACTCTTCACCTCCCCTTGCCGGAGCCCGCATCCGCGATGGCCTCACAGCCGCCGTCGGGCACCGGACTGATGTCGGCCGACCAAGCCGACCCCGAACCAGGCTCCGGGACACCTCCGGAGCCGAACCCCACCTCAAGAGCTAAGCGACGCCGCGACGTCGAGGCACAGCCGACCCGGCCCAGCCTAACGGGAAGCCAGCTTGATGCCACCACCGACGCCCCTACCTCGGCCGAGGGGCCCGCAGCCTCTACCGCATCTGCTCCGAGCGGATCTGCCACAGGGTCCGTCTTGACAGCCCTTGCAGAAGAAGCTAGACAGTACGAGGCACGGAAAGACGTCTTTCTGACCATTGCACGGTCCGTCGACAGCGTTGTCGCCAGCTTTGACGGTTCTAGAAAGCAGATCGCGAAAGAAGCCACTGCCTATGTCATTCAAACCCTCAAGAGACTGATCAATCACGAGACAAGCCCAATAGCGGCCCGGAGTTGGGCGGCTGTCGTCGCACCGATGGCGGGCAACACCACTGCGGCGACCCGGAGCGGCCAGAGCTGCCAGAGCTCTGCCCGCCCGAAGGCCACACTCCCCGCCGAGGATCAGCCGCAGGCGCAGCCGAAGGAGGACCTCCGCATCTTTGCCCGCGTCCCGGAAGAAAGCTTAGCGGCCGCTCGGAAGATCGCACCGTTCGCCGTACGACAGATCGTCTGTAAGGCCGTTGGCCTGGGGCTAGCGGACCTTCCCCACGTCTACCATATCAGCACAGGTTACTCTCTGAAGCCGCGAAACAAGCAAATACAGGAAAGACTACTTGCAAGTAAGGCAAAGCTGGCGGAATGCCTCGGCGCCCACCAGGTCGAGACGCCTATCAAGTGGTACACTTACGTTGTGCCGCGATGCCCAACAAAACTACACAGCATTGGCGGGGACGTCCTGGACCCAGCCACACTCGTTGAAGATGAGGTCTTCGCACAGACAGGACAGAAGCCTGTCCTTGCTCGACCGTCCCGCCTTGGGCCCAACCCAGTCACGAACGAAATATCTTGGCTCATATCATTCACATCAGAGGTCACGCCCTTCAGGCTCTTCAACCAAAGCGGCAGATCTCTGCCCGTCAAGAAACGAAGGACGCTCATCCGACACGACCCCGGCTGCCAGGGCTACCACTCCAACCGGTTCTGCGGACGACGACCGATCTGCAGCAACTGCGGAAGACCTTCCGATTCACACGAAACGGGACCCTGCATGGCCAGGCCCCAATGTGCCAACTGCTGCGGCCCCTTCCAAGCCAGCCACACAGACTGCCCAGCGAGGCCCTCGGCCGTAAACGGCGTCGTCTCCCTTCCCGGTCGAAAGGAGCGGGCTCGGATCCGGAAGGCCGGCCAGAAAGCATCGGACACTCTGTACAAGGCTACTCGATCCGACAGTAGCCAGGAGGCGGCAGGCGTCCCTACCTCCACCAGCCAGAACCAGCAACCCGGCGCCAAGCGCGCGCGCACGAGAACGCCCTCCGCAAGCTCGATCGTTTGCCTCGGTGACGGAAGCACTGACAGCAGCAGCATGGATGAAGACGAGGCGGACGAAGGCGAAGGCGAAGACTCCCCCGACAACACCTCCATCGACCGTCCCGTGCTACCCATGCCAAGCAGGAGCCAACGGGCAGCACAGAAGCCAAACTACAACGTCGCGAATGCCTACACCCACCTCGAACTCGACTCGGAGACGTAAGCCGAGAGCGGCGACCCCACGGATGCTACGCGTTGCGCAGGGCAACGTCGGAAAGATCTCCCCGGCGCACACGGCTTTCCTGCAGCTCTGCTGGGAGGCTCAGATAGATGTGGTCCTCGTCCAGGAACCCTGGACGGGCTGGAAGGACGGAAACGTGCAACTGAACACGCACCCGGGTTTCGACTCTTTCGTCCCGGTCGACTTCTGGGACAGCGAAGGAACCAGACCAAGAGTATTGACCTACACACGCAAAGGGATAGGGATGACGGTGGAGCAGCAGAGGCCTGTCCACACGAGAGACGTACTGTGGCTGGTGGTCGACAAAACGACGACTATCGTCAACGTGTACAGACAACCCCGCGACCCCCACAGCCGCACAACAGGGATACTGCTAGAACTCAAACCCCCGGAGCGAGCTTTGATCGCGGGTGACTTCAACGCGCATCACTACTCTTGGGAGCCCGGGACGAGGAACGGGAACCGGGGAGATGACATCGCAGGCTGGGCAGACGGCCACAATCTCTCTCTTATCAGCGAAGTTGGGGTGGCAACCCAGGATTGCGGACATGTCCTGGACCTGGCTTTCTCTAATATCCCTTTTGCGCACGCGCAGGTCAGCCCACAGCTACACCCGGGAGCTGACCACGAGGCCATCGTGGCCGTCATACCACTACTCAAACGCCCAGTGTCACAGGGAGAGGGCCACCCGCAGCCACGGCCACTGTCAGTGCCCGACTCGGCGCTGCCTCGGCTGAGAGACCTGATCGAAGGGGGGCTAGCTGCGATGCCCAATCTGGGGGATCAACCTACTCCGGAAGACCTGGACGGGCAGGCAAGTCACATCGTCGAGCTCTTCTCCCGAGCCATTGAGGCGGTCGGCAAGAAGAGAGGAAAACATGGTAAAGGCGCGGCTTGGTGGACGGAGGAATGCGCAGAGGCCCACAGAGCATACCGTGCTGCCCGCAACCAACAAGCCTGGGAGACGGAGCAAGATGCGCACCTTTATCTAATGGAGAAACGAAAGGCGTTCCTGAGCACGGTGAGGAAGGCTAAGCGAGCATACTGGGCCGGAAAGATCGATGGAGTCGCTTCAGACCGGGACCTGTACCAGATCATGGGTTGGCGGAAGGCGAGCCTACTGACCAGAGCACCCCCATTGGTTGTGGACAACCAGACGATCGAGGATACTAACGAAAAGGCTCAAGCGCTTCGGGGAGCCCTTCTCGACAGGTTTAGTGCGGAAGATGACGCACCGGGTGACCCGTTTGACGTACCCGTCGTCCCGAGGCGAGCGATTACTTGGCAGGACAATGTTAGCGGAGAAGAAGTGAAGACGGCCACCTTAACAAAGACAACGACCCCTGGTGTGGACGGCATCACAACACGCCTCCTCCAGGCATGCTGGGATGTCATCTCGGAACCGGTCAGGCAGCTATTCCAGTCCTGTATGCGGGCCGGCCACTTTCCTCTGCCCTTCCGCAGAGCTGAGGTGGTCATGATCCAGAAGGCCGGCAGGGATGCCTCCAAGCCCGGGTCCTGGCGGCCGATCGCGCTCCTCTCGTGCCTGGGCAAGGGACTAGAGCGACTGATAGCCAGAAGGATGGCGTCCCTGGCGATTGTCGAGCGCATCATCAGTCCGCAACAGATCGGGGCTCTACAAGGCAGGTCAGCCGTCGATCTGACGACCTGCCTCACCCACGACATCGAGATGGCCCTCCTAAAAGGACTCACGGCGACACTTCTGACTATGGACGTAAAAGGGGCGTTCGACTCCGTCCTTCGGAACCGGCTCGTCATTAGACTGCGTCAGCAGGGATGGCCACATGGCCTGACCAGACTGATCTTTAGCTTCTGCTGCAACCGCACCGCTAGAGTCCGACTGGAAGAAAGCACAACGGAGTACTTCCCGCTGTCATGCGGGCTGCCTCAGGGGTCACCACTATCTCCCATTGCCTTTCTGCTCTACATCGCAGAGATACTTGAAGACGACCCGAACGCGCGATTCGGGTACGCGGACGACATCGCCACTCTGGCCATCAGCCCCTCCCTGGAGAGCAACGTCGCAATACTCAACCGAAGCGCAGCCGGCATTCTCAGATGGGGCTTGGAGAACAAGGTCTCCTTTGACCCGAGCAAGTGCGAGGTCATCCACTTTACTAGGAAGCACGGCCAGCCAGCGGAGCTGCCAGAGGTCCGGGCGGGGGATTTGGTGGTCAAGGCCTCGACGAAACCTGTACGCTGGCTGGGTGTCTGGTTCGACAAGAGACTGTCCTTCCGGCACCATGTCGACGCAAAAGTAGCTGCAGCAAAGAGGGCAGCTCAACATCTGAGACAGCTTACGAACACAAAGAGGGGACTCCCAGCGGCCGCCGTGCGAAAAGCCGTCGTCTCCTGCGTACTGCCGATCGCGCTCTTCGGCGCCGAAACATGGTACGCAGGTATCACGAAGCCGGCTTCGAGACGCCAAGCGGAGACAGACACGAATCCGCCTCTCCAAGGAAGACCCGTCAACACAGGCCAAAAGGGGCTCGTGCAGAAGATCGACAGCGTCATTACAGCGGCAGCAAGGGCCGTTCTGCCTGTCTGGAGGACAACGCCAACCAGTAGCCTCCTCCGAGACGCCGGCTTACCGTCAGCCAAAGTCGCCTTAGAGGGCGTCCGCTTACGGGCCGCAGTCCGACTACAGAGGATTGATCGCCGACACCCGCTAGTCGCGCGGCTCTCCCAGCAGGGACAGCAACAGACGAGACTACAACGGACGGCTGAACTTCTGCCAAGATGCGGAAGACCAGCGTTCCTTCAATCACAGTACCTGCCAAGCTCACAGGATCAGATAGTAGTTCAATGCAAAGAAGAGGCTGCGAAAGCTTTCGAGCGCTGGCTAAAGACAGTACCGGAAAGCCATATGATCGTCTTCTCGGACGGCTCCAGGGCGACGAACGGAGCCGTGGGGTACGGCTTCGTCATCTACCGAGACTCCAAACGCATAGCACAAGGGTGCGGCCGACTCGGACTAGCAGAAGTGTTCGACGCCGAGGTCGAAGGGGCGCGAACCGGCCTCAGAAGGGCTCTGCTCACCAATCGCGGTCATCCAATCCACATATGTATCGACAACACCAGCGTTATACAAGGCATCCGCGGCAAGGCGCCGGACTCGTCACAAGACGCGTTCCTCGAAATCCAAGAAGCGGCCAGGATATTTGATATACGGACGCACTGGTCCCCGGGACACCAGGGCATCGAAGGAAACGAGGCCGCGGACCGGCTGGCCAAAGAAGGAACGACACTGCCGGCGCGGATGGGTCAAATGGCAACACTAGCGGGCATCAAGCGGCTTGCAAGGGAAAAATTACAAAGCCAGCACAGGAGATGGTGGTATAAAGAGCGAAGGCCGCGGTACGCGGACTTGGGGCTTGAGGCAGCTCTGTCCAGCCCTCCTGAACTGGCCTTGCCGCGGGCTACGTTACATCACCTGCTGGCGGCACGATCGGGTCACGGGGACTTCGAGCAATATCACCGACGTTTCAACCACGACGACGCTCTAATGATGTGCTCTTGTGGAGAGGCGAAAGACGTGGACCACCTGGTCTACTGTCGACTAACGCTGGCGAGGAGGCAACGGTGGCCGACCCTCCACTCTCGCAGTATGCCCGAGCCCATAGGCCCTATGGGATCTCTCGAGGCCTACTTCAAGAGATTAATCACCGACCCACGAGGCTTCGAGGCCTTTCTCCGCGTGACGGACTTCTTCCAGAAGATCTGTCTGCGGTAGCAGCATCCACACCTACGTAGATGTGAGTGCGGACTACAAAGAACCTCCCGATTCCAAGGGACGATTTGGGAAAGAATGAAACTGGGGCACCAGCGGGAACCGGGGACAGACAGAACGCGTAGTGGCCACAAGGCATGATTTGGAGGACGATGTAAAGAGACGACGTACTGTAGAGTAGGTAGCCTTGGCTCACGGCCCTCCACGCCATATACCCTTCGGGAGGTCTGCGGTAAGGGCTCTAGCCCGGCCGCCACGGCGTTAAATACAACAACAACAACAACAACATTATGGCTTCAAGCCTACAGCGGATCGAACGCCATTTGGAGGACAAGCTAACTATCCATTCCGGAAACTCCAGCTTCCTGGAGTCACCCCTGTTGCTGGGCCAATGGCAAACTCAGTCGATGATCTCAGTTTGTTCATGGAGACAGTGCTCGGTCGTCGGCCATGGCATTATGACGCATCTGCAGTCAGCGCACCTTGGAGAAGCTCCCCTGGAAGCAAAAAGATCTTGACTATCGGCGTTCTTCCTGAAGACCCGGAATATGCCCTACAGCCTCCTGTTCAACGAGCTCTTCAAGATGCAGTCGCAAAACTGAGTGGTGTCGGGCATAAGATCATTACATTGCCAGTCAGCCCCGCATGCAGTGCCAGTGTTGGTGGAAAACTCGGATTCCATTACTTTGGGCTAGGATCTTCCGGTCTGGATGCTTTGGCAAGTGAGATTGGTGAACCACTTGTGCATTCAGTGAAACGAGGCGTTCATCCTTTCACAAGTTCAAAGCCCCTTATTCCGATGGAGTTGGACACAATACACCAACTAGACGAGTTCCTCAGCTTGCAGACTTCTTATGCCAATAGCTGGAGGGACGTTTGGAAAGAGTATCAACTTGATGTTATTATCGGCCCCGGAGCAATCAGTACCGCGGTTCCTCATGATACCTATGGCATCCCTGTCTACACGTTGATGTGGAATGTGCTCGATGTAAGCCAACGCAATCACCTCGCTGTAGCCAACGGTTCAGCTAATTAGGGGTGCCAGTACCCAGCAGGGATGATACCATACGGTGTATCGTCCAGAAACAAAGATCCCGATTATCAAAAAGCAGCCTCAGAGTTTGAAGCGGACTGTAAGCACCACTTGTTCTAACACTTCTCGTTCTTCTCATGCCTGGTACTGAACCGATCACAGATGATCCAGATGCAACCGACGGCGCCCCATGTTCGATTCAAGTTGTTGCTCCCCGGTTCCATGATGAAGAGTGTTTGGAAGCGATGCGAATCATTGACAGAGACATACAGCGTGAAAGTGAGTGATAACTGTGGAAGATAGTTGTATAAAGACACAGGACCTCAAATTATTCATCATGGATATTTCGATGACCCGGGAATTTCCTTAGCGGCAGTGTCGCCACCAACGAAACCAACACCGTGACGCTGACGAAATTTTGCTAACCATTCCGGATTGTCTGCAACAGTCTGATTCCACTCGTCATCGCAGTCGTAAATCACGCGTCTCGACTCTTGTCTAAGCATCTCGTCTGTAGTGTTTACCCCTTGAGAAAGATGCTCCTTTGCAAAGTGTCTCAAATGCTGCTCTAGTATCTCTGTGAAAGCCTTCGACGTTGCTGCCCTAGAGCTGAGAATCGATTCTGAGTGCCAAGACATCGCATCATCTATAGTAGCAGTTCCGCTCTCTTTTTCTTGTGGTGACTCAAGTGTGCGAGAAGATATCTGAGCAAAATGGTCTCTCGTGCTTTGATCTGTCACTGAGAACGGGACGACACTAAGCGACTCTGAACCTATTAGATAGGGAGGCAGGGCATGCACAACCTGCTGCGCAATCGTTGGGCTGAACCCGTGTTCACCCTTCCAGTCTTTCATCGTTGCACCATGGCGAAAATGGTTGGCGAGATGGTCAACTCGTTTGTTCCAGGTCATGAACTCCGTGTCACAGAACCCGCATCGAGAGGAGACCCGTACAGCTTCAGCCCTCCAGCCATCGAATCGAGGCATTGTGTCTAGTTTGTGCATAACACGGAGGTGTTGAACGAGATGGTCTTTCCTTCTAAATGAGCGTGCTTCTATCGGTCGCTCGTAGCATGCGTTATGATTGTGACCATCAAGATGTTCGTCCGACGGGTCTACCTCGCTGCAGTACGTACAATGAGGTCGACCTGTCACTGTAGACATGACTGAACCCCCCCGTGGAGCGCATATCCACGACTCGAGACTGAGATGTCTCGACTTCTCGTGTCGAGCCCAGTCATACTTGGTCTTGAAGCTATCGCAGCAGAATGTGCATTTGAAGGGACGGTGATCTTTCTTGGAAGCGGCGGATAAGCGTTTCTTGGACACTTTTCCTTGCCTAGTGCGATCAAGTAAACTTGGTCCATTCCGTTGACCTCTTGACGTGTCTGTTGCTGCAGACCACGCAGAACTTGCCGACTGCAAAGATGAGCTGCTCCCGCCACTGTCCAAGCTGGTTCCGGAATTGGTGCGGGCGTAATCCGCCACATTTGCAGTTCGATTGACGTCGATGCGAGCAGTATAAGTTTCCAGTGCGTTATGTATAGCAGCAATTGAGGCTGGTTCGTCTTGCGGGGGAGACTTCCTCCATCGCTGCATAGGATCCAATTCTGCATCGCTAGCAGATATGGGAACTGGGATTGCAACGGCCTTCTTCCCCGACTGCATAAATTTATAACAGCTTCTTCTTCTTGGGAGACCTCTATTGGTATTGAACACAGTCTGACCAGTGAGCTCCGTGTCTCCGCTGAGGGGGTTCGGCCAGTTGATATGGTTTGACGTTGTAGCCGGAGACTGCAAAGACCACAAGAAATCGCCACGCGCGAAATCCGGATCCACCTCTTCGCTGCTCCCACCGTGAAACCAGGATATCGATGTCGCTTGAGGATCGTCATCAGCCGTGGAAAACATTGAAGGCCAAATCTGACCTGAGGTCCCAGTCGGGGGGCTGTCGTCCAACGGAGTGCATCCGGGGTTCGATCCCGGCCACGCAGTGTGAGAGGCCGGCCCGAAAGTTCCGCCTGTCACGGGTTGAGTTGTCGCAAGTCCTTCCTGCCCATCGGGCTGAGACAGATCCAAAGGTACTTGCTCCATAGTATTAGCACTCATACAGGTGGCTTCTGCAGGTATAGGGTCTCCATGGCCTGGCGAAGCGAGTTTACCGTCCCGAACATCGGTGACTTGAGGCATGAATCTAGGGTGAGTTCTATTAGGCGTTGAGCGTAAAAGGTTCGGCATGCTATCGGCATGGCATGATGTGCGACGGAGGAATAGCTAGCGTATTAGATCATGTCGAAAATCATCCATTCTGCTCCGCTTATCTTTGTGAGAACCTTTTGCGCGTGGATATTGATAAGCATCCAATTCGCGAACTTCACGCCCTAGGGCGCAACAAATATAATTCAAATCTGATGAGACACGTGACTCTACCAGGTGGCCACAGCGCGACTCCTTGGGTCGAGACTTGAGTCAGGGACACCCTTTATGCCTTGCCGAGCTGCTAAGTAATACTGATTAGTATCCGTAAGACGCCTTCACACTTCTACCAGCCACTTCGCACTTCGTGGGCAAGACTCATGTAGACTTCCCGACGGCAAGGATCAAGACAGCTGTTCCAGCTCAGTTGGACGACGAAAATGGGGTCGACTCTACTAATAATCGGGCGTAAGACGGTGCTCGATACGTCTTCCACATTATATTTACAGTATGATCTACTGTTGATCGCATTCGCAGCAGATTTACTAATGTAAACCACATGGCAAATCTCTACGCCTCGCGGGCCTTGACTTGGAGAGAAATTTACGTGTTCGAGGCGTAGTCATGCTGACTGTCTATTTACTATCTGTCGAATTGAAGACGCTTTGGATTGAAGGAGCGGGGTGGGGGCTGGCAGGTTGCTTTCTCCATAGCAATGACTGCGGGAGTGCTGTTGACATGGAGGAACTCGATTTCGGAAGGGCCGAAACTGTGGTCTTGCCGCTGGATTCTGCGGCCACGACTCTCACCCGGGGCAGACATCAGCTCCAGATCTCCCGGCTTCTCGACCTACAATTTCCAAAAAAAAAAAAAAACCTAAAAAAAAAACCTTAAAAGTGAAACAATTGCCGTTGTTGGAAGTTCTAATTCAGAATAGCAGGCAGAAAAGGGGGCTTGGCAACAAAAGTAGATAGCGCTCGCCTCTAAAAGGGTGTTGGAGCTAAGGTACCCTGTGTTGGTTTTCAGAACCCTATTCAAGTACCTCTTTCTGCCTACCCATAGCAGTCGCCCAGGAACTGTGAATTCTAGCTTCTAATCGATCTTCGTAGACGGACGATGGTTTCCAGTTGTCCAGGCGGTGCGGGGTTGCGAAGTCGCGAAATGGCCCTCTTCGGAAGAAATGTGGAATACACCTACTACCTCCTTCCACATCTCGATCGCGCCGTCTTTCATTCTGGAATTTTTCTTTCAGGTCCAACGCGGGAGATCATGATACCCAAGACTCTGAGGCCAACTTGAAAATGCGAAGAATGAGCTGCAGAAGCCGAAAAACACAAGGTGCGTTTTATTGTAGAGAATGGGTGTTGTTAACACTGGTCAGGTCCTGATCGCCCGGTTCTAACTATCAGACCCTTAACGGTGGCATCAATATACGCTGCAGTAGTAAGTACGAATCCTTTAGTGAAATACACTTCCGCCTCGAAGTTCCATTCCAATCCCAATGCTCGCAAGGGTCAATTATAGTTCCACCAGGTAGCTGGATCTTATATTTATACTGACAGGTATTACGTGCTCTGTTTAGCTCGTGTTCTCTCACAATGATATGAGAAGGGTTAAAGCAACCGCCTTGATGACATAAATGTGATGCTTGGTATTGAGCATCTTCACCTGATGTCTGCTCCAGTGCATAACTTTGTCCCTTGGCTATAATAGCGAGTTGGGGTCTATAAAGCTGTATGCTAATAAAATCAGAATTATTAGGGTTAGTTATGTGTTTTTCTCTAATTTACTTTCGTATGTTGCTTATGGGACGGTGTGTTGGTGTGCATACCAACAACAACGGTGTGTTTTTCTTTGCATACACTCTCTTCATGTGAGGTAGATAGCTAGGTTTCTGCACTTAAGACATTTGACATAGAATCGAATGGCATAGGAAGTATTAAGAACTGTTTGAACAAGCCATTCGAGTTGATTTCGGCCCTTAAAACGAAGGAGAAACGGTGACAGATTATATGACACAAATTTCCAATCCAGCTCGCAACTCCCAATGAAGTGGGATTAGAGTGAGAGTGTTCCTGCCTAGAAACCCAGAGCACTATTGAACATTGTTGCAGCAGAGGCATCTTTGACGCCTGCCGCAGAGACCTGAGCCTTGGCCTGCTGACATTGGTCCTTTGCAGCTTGATTCGCCTCGCATACGTTGGTGAGCTGGTCGCAAATTCGATTCGTGATGATGTTTGGATTCAGCGCGTCTTGTTGACCCTTGGCTACAAGGGTATCAGTTGGCAAGAAAGTGCCTTGATCTGACTTGCGTCCAGTACGGCCCAGTTGAAAGTCCATTGTTGGAGTGCATTTGCCGAAATCAGCGTCATTGGCCTGTCGGCGAATGATGGCAGCCGATGCGCTAGGTGCGCCGAAGAGTACAAAAAAGGCGATAGTCGGCCGCATATTGTAGGTAGTTGGAATGACCGTTGAGACTTCTTCTTCGAGATTAGATGAACAAGAGCAATGATGGAAACGTAGGAGTAACTGAAAAAACTCGGACAAGGGAAGGTTTGGAGGGCTGAAACGAGGTGCGGACGATGTTGAAACGAGGCTCACAGAACCTAGGAAGCGGGTTGAATTCAACTCATTGATCAAAGGAAAGATGCAGGATGGATCAGAACCACATCGAGTTTACATATTTGACGAATCGATCCCTTTTCTAGTATGCAGTGATATCGTGAGACGATGTAAGCTCATACTACCCTGCGGCAGGTGGCAGTCAACGCAGTACCTCCGGCTTTTCGGATGGTCAGATATCAGACGGCCATGTTTGAGGTTGGACCTTGCAGAACCAGGTACACGTCACATCGATCAGAGACTTATCAACATGATTGGACCATAAGATCGACATACTCTTGCAAGATATCGGGACCTCCTTGCAGGAATCGGACGGCATGACATGAGATGATACATGGGAGAGAGCTGAGGCACAAAATGACAGCAACGACGAAACCGCAAGCCCGTCACCGACGTCGCAATCAGCTGGAACCCTTTCTGTGTCCCACACTCCTCATCGCGAGTGTCATTCCAAAATTGCCGAAACCCGCGAGAAAGCGTTAAAATTCCTCTCACACAGCGATCAAGTATTGACTGCGGCAGTACTTGACCTTTATCAGTTACTAAATGTTGTATGAGCAGAGAATGTAGAGCCGATCAAGCACTATCGACCAGATGCCCCCCGAAGCTTGTGCTTTGTTCGCAACTCTGCGCATCTTCTTTAGTGTCGAACGCCGAGACTGTACTCAGGTGGAAGACGCTCGCAACGACCCTCAAGACCAACGAGTTTAGGACTCGCTTGCCGCCCAAAGTGGCAACATCAGGCGGACTCATGCCTTCGGGCAAAGTCATCGTCATCCCATCGGCCCATGCCCTCCGCAGTTTCTTCCAGCCGCAGTCTCATATACTCGTCAGTAAGAGTGAGGATTTCTTTGTGGGCTTGTTGCAAGCGTGGACTGGGATCTACGATTAGGGATGGGCACTACTCATCCATAACAGTAGGACACCACCAGTAGTACTAATCCCGTCAATCGTTGAATATTGAGTACCTGACGAATGCACTTATTCTGATCCAGCGTCCATTGCATGCGGGCCTTCGCAATATGACTACTCTACCTACTAATCATTATGTCAACAGCATGGATTGGTGAATTGGTCTCAGCTTAGGTCGCAGACGGAACATAAGTAGCTACCTAGAGATCCGAAAGTCCATCATCATATACCTGACATTCCTTTCCAACAAAGAAGATTGGGTGTTATGAGACCAAGCTCTCCATAGACGAAACTAGCAACCATCGAGTGTTGAAGCGAAGTTACTATTCTCTTCATTGACCACCGAAGGTTTGAACAGCGGTAATCCCATCCAACCAGGAGGACCAGAAGGAACTTTTGGGGCCTCCGATCCCATGTTTTGCAGCATTCGAAGCGCGCGATGGAAGGGCAGCGATTTGACACGAAGTTCGTTCGCACTTGGCCTGGTGTTTTCGTTTGGGATCCAGGCGGGAATTTCCCCATCAGGACATCCGAGGCACATCTTGCCGAATTGCCAGATCAATACCAGTAGAATTTCGGATTATGGAGCCAGGGGTATCAGAATATCTAGACTATCGGATCGAAGTATTGTCTTGCTAGTCGCTACAATAAAACGGCTCAATTTCGCTCACCTACCCTGGGAAGGTCGAGACGGAGAGAGAATTGGAGGTGTTACGCGGGAAATGTACTCCATCAAGTGATATTTTCCCCCGTCTTGGCCCATGCATCTCGTATCCCTTTCACTCCCCAGTCCCTGCCTCTAAGCTCGTGGGATTCCCGTTTACATGCATTTGTTATTGGTAGTTATCGATTGCTGTGCTTAAAAGGGGGAAGCCCCTTGACTTCCGAGTTTGATTGTTATTAAATTGGATGCCGTTCAAAGTGGGGCGTTCGCTCTTGGATTCCGGAGAAGCCTAACTTTAACGAGAGCCGATGCGTGAAGGTCTGGTCGGAAAGATGTCAAGCATTATGCTTAATTGCAAAACTACGTTAAACTCGTGGACCACTAACCACTAGGTGTCGGAGGGAAAGAGTTCATGAGGCTGATGGACAACTACTACGTGAATATGGAACATAAAAACCGTTCAATATCTTTTTCCAACCCAGTCAAGCTGTTGTTGATGGAGGACAAGGCAATGTTGGGAAGTCTGAGAGTTGCCCAATGAGTCAGTCCTATCCGTACAAAGGCGATTATCTGCGCGCCGTAACAGTTGGCAATTGATGCCTCCGAAATCTGCATTACGGAGGTCATCCATTCTGCCAAACCCATGCAGATACATTGTAACATTTCCTTTTGAATTTGACTGCCGCAATCGGGCAAAATGTGCGAACAAATGTACGTCTGTGTACGAATAGGCGTTGCTGACTGGTATGAATGGCTCTTGATCTGCTTGACCCAGGTGGATCAAGCAATGAAGAGAAAACCATGTCGATGTCAAGAGTCTGGAACCGCCCTACCGCCGAATTCCATCCAAATTCGGTCATGGAGCTGCCAAGATGGGACTCCATGCCGGCAAGCTTGGATTATGTAACAAAACTAAGGAGCAATGACCAGGGAATTACCAGGCTCGTGGATGCCTGTCCCACAAAATTTAATCGTCTGTTTCATCATTACTCGTTTTCGGCGGGTTTGAAACTGCTCTTCTCCTCGTCTGGGTCGTCTCTGGGCTGCCTTTCTGCCCATCTTCCCTCTAAGAACCTAGACAGCTATCTTTGTCGGATGATCGACCCGAAAACGCAGAACGCCCTCTTGCCATGTTTCTTAAACATCGGGCCTTGGTGATAATTGGGACGGCCCCAAGATCCACGGGTAAATGTAACACAAAGCCTCGACGAGCCAGTCTTCAGCCCATCAAAAGCCATGATCCTATGCCAACAGCACCTCGCGGCAGATACTTCAACCTCTTACAGCTCTAAATATCTCTCTTAACACCGTAGGTATCTCTGCCATTCCCCGGATCTTCCAAGTCTTGTGTGCTCTACCCAGAACCCGCATGTCACACCAGAATTGCTCATTCAGCCTTGGCGCTATTTATCTCCGGCGCAACCATTCGAGAAAGGAAGGACTTCCAGCAAGCCCCTCTTTACGCCGTAGGATTTGTTCCCCAAATTGGACATCCAACGCCACCCTTAAAGCGGTCCTTAATCTTCCATCATCACTCAGTCCCACTGGCTTATTCTCCCGCCAATGAGTTTCGACGGAACAAACGCAATCAATTCTGAATACGGGGTCCTCAATGCTCCGAAGACAGAAGGAAAAGCAACTGGGATCGTTGGAAGTCTTGGTCATGGCCGCCAACACGGCAGATACACTGGCTAGCAATCAATTCGACATGCCCAGCAAAGAGGTGGAGTTTGAGAGTGCTCGGTTGGATCAATACGACGATGCCTTACGGTGTTGATGTTTGTATATATCTATGGACACTGCCCATCTATAGTTCACCCCGCTGTCTATTCGTTTTCAGCTTCGTAAGGTCCTCGGTACCAACTTCGTTGTCTTGTCATTCTTTCTTGAACCAAATTCGCTTCTTTTCTGTGGTCTATTGTTATTTTACTCCCTTTCTCAGCCTTCGCCATGCGCTTCTCTACCACCTCTGCTGCCGTTGTGGCGCTTGCAGCCTCTTCCCAAGCCATGAACATCTCTGCAACTTCCGACCTTGACGGATCTGTGTGGCAGGCCCTCGCTCCCGTTCAGGCCCGAACCTTTGAGGATATGCCCCGCAACCGTCCTATCAAGAGACAATCCGGCTGGAGCCCTCCCTCCAACATCGTCACTCCCCTCAAGGAGGTTTGGGATCACTGCAAGAGCACCTACTCTAACTTCTTTGGCTTCAAGAACTACGGTTGGGACCAGGTCATCGCTACCAAGGGCACCATCAACGTTTGTGTCCGCTGGGAATCGAGTGCTTCTGTCACCGAAGCTCAGCGCACACAAGTCGCCAAAGCCCTCAACACTGCCCACCAGGGCTGGTACAAGTGGCTCTATGGCTATGATAACTTCCCCTATACCGACATCAAGGTCAATGTTGTCGGTTGGGCCGTTCGTGACAAGAGCCTTCTCCAGGGTTCTACATCTGGTATCGAGGTCTACACTGACAAAGACGCCGAAGGCATCCCCCAGTGTGCTGAGTCTTGCGGTCGTTTCTTCAACCAGAACGGTGACTACAGCAAGTGCGCGGCCGGTGCTGACCGCCACTACGACCAGTCCCTCTGGCTCACCGATGGCATGAACGGTGGTGCTGGCGGCGACTGGGGCCAACGTATTGGTCGCGAGTACTTCATGGGCGCTCTTGACTCTGCTAGTGCCCACATCCTTCAGCACGAGATTGGCCACACCTATGGTCTTGATGACTGTTAGTTCAACGATTTCCCCTGACTTAACTCACAAACACGATGCTGACAAAATCCTTCTTCCAGTCTACGGTACGTGGTGACGAGAACGATTCTCAATCAACCGACATGAGAACCAAGCGCACAACAAAGGAACTCAATGGCCAATACTGACTCTAATACAGACTGGACCCCCACTGGTGTTACCAGCTTCATTATGCTCGCTGGCTCTGCCGCTCAGATCACCGACTTCGATGGATGGATGCTCCGCAACTGGTGGTACGAGCTCTCCCGCGAGCGCGGCTGGCAGTCCGGCACCTCGAGCTCCGGTTCCTCCGGCTCTGCTGCCCCAGCGAGCACTGCTTCCGCCAAACCCACTGCCAAAGCCTTGAGCTCTGCTCCCGCTGCAGCTGCTGCTACCACTGCGGCCGCCGCCCCGACTCAACCCGCTAGCTCCGGAGCAACTGTTGGCGCATGGGCTCAATGCGGTGGTTCTGGATACACCGGCGCCACAGCTTGTGTTTCCGGCTTCCAGTGTGTCAAGACCAACGAGTGGTACTCCCAGTGCCTCTCTGCATGAATGCGATGACACATACATCCTAGATGTGTTCGAGTTGCATGCTTACGCTGCACGAAAGGTCCCAGAGCTCCTTTTTTTTGGCTGAGTGCTGGAGCACATGCAGTCAATCTTTTCGGTTCCCCGAAAGAACTTCTTGTCTATAGGCATTTTTTGACCCCTGGGGTCCTATTTTCTTCCGTACATACATGTATATAATCAACACAGTCTCATATGAGCCCATGCGTTTCCCTTCTCATCTTGCACGCGATACACCAACCATAGCTAGATGGATCCATCATCGAATTTTCCCTGTGAGGGTGGATCTCAGCCCGATCACTGTACAGGAATCGAGCAGTGTAGTACTTATCATCAACGAGCCAATGAGGGCGAACAGATGATAGATATCCCGGGTAAAGTAACTGCTAACCGGTCTTTGGCGCTACTCTCGAAATTTGATGCTTTTCGCTTGAGATCAGAAGGCGATTCAGCGATTATATCATCAGCGACATCTACACAGACATTAAAACACTGGCGTATGCTCTCGCAGTAGATAGCGAATGAGACGTGCCGTTTGCTTATGAGAACAGCAGCTTAAATGACTTGAGCAACACAGATAAACCATGTGAGAACGCGCGCAAAGCCGGTGTTCCACTCAGCATTACTCTGCTCTGTGTAAGACAAGGTTAGTATCCAGACTTATGGCTATCAATTGTCACAACGTTGTCTAGATTGCTGCCAATAGTGCACAAGGGATCTCGCCTGGGCTGATCTTAATCGGACCACGAGATCAGGAAGCTTGAAGTGCTCGAAGTTTACTCAGGTAAAATGGAGTCAATTTGACTCACACAATCAAAGATCGATACATATCGTCGGATGTTGTGAGATGGCCCCGGAAAGTGTGCTATTTTGTGGTACGCGAGTCCTGCGCATCTCTTCAACAGACTTCAAGTCCACAGGTCGCGACACTTTACGACAGCTAGCGTAGGTAGGCATGGAGCCCCGGTCGTTCTGGTCGCAAGATCGTGCAGTACTCGACTGGGTATTCAAAGTACCGAAGTATAGCCGTGGTTGAACAATTGCTTCTTGGGATAAGTCGATATCTCAGCGGAGGTCACCAAGCTTAACGGACTCATGCGTTAGGACTCTGTACCCATGCGGCACAAGACGGAGTTGATGGGCGTCTTGTCATTTCTACCTCGACTTAGAACGGGACCCATTCTCGCCTCCGCCCAATTGAGAAACCTTCAACCGGCGACTAGAGGCTTCAGCCAGCAGCACCAAGCTGAATTGATGGATGCATGGGGCATTCCGAATTCCAGCTCGAGAACAGCTGGCTGGTAGTTATTCTCGCGCGCCAAACATGCACAGGCCCAGGGAAATGAGGCTCAAGTGCCGCAAAGCCGTCCATGCTGCCTACGGCCGGCGCCGACGTCCGCTGGAGACCGGCGGACTTATGCCTCGTCCTAGTACGCCAAAGAATTAATTTCACTCAACGCGGATCCAATGAGGCTTGGGATGGCGGGGACCACTTCGGTCTAACTCACGGAGAGCAGCCGGATTTAGACGGCGGGGCAGAGTGCGAGAACGTAGGAAAACTTTTGGGAGGATTGTATTATTAAAGGATACGGATCGCGCAAGAAAGACTTCGATCACGTCTTTGGCAGTCAGGCATCACTGGCACACGAGCACTTCCTTCAAGACCTTGACTTTTCTCCCGATTTCACGCTTGGTAAAAGTTTCGAGTTGAGTTATCCAGCTCGCTTGCTGGTAGATGCACTGGGTATTATTAACTACTGCATATATCTTCTTCTCTCATCAACTGGCGCTGTACCAGCACATTTCTTCCTCAACATCGTACATCTTTTACTCATATTTTCTCGTCTCAGCAACGGCTATCGAACGGAAACAGCTTTCCAACTTGGATTCTCAAGACCCGCCAGTTACCTACGCACTAGCCGTAAGGTTTGTTACTTGGTGGGTAACAACAAGACCAGCAACAGCGGCGGACGTCAAAGTCGACATGACGCCAGAAATGAGCGCAGAAATCGCCATGGCACTGACATCACCACCACGGCTGGGGGCTAGCTGACCAAGGATACCGATCTGAATACCGAGGGATCCAATGTTACCGAAACCGCAAAGGGCATATGTCGCAATGAGCTGGGATCGGGGAGAGAGATCGAGGTACTCGGGCGTCTTCATTTCGGTGAAGGCAACGTACTCGTTCTATTCCAATACCAGTCAGTGTCAAGTCAAGTGGCCAAGCAGCATTTGAATGAGGAGTTGCACTTACAGCGATGACCTTGAGGGCGATCAAGCGAGCAACCTTGAGGAGGTCGCCATTACGGGGAACACCCAGCAGGAACGCAACTGGGTAAAAGATGTAACCAGTAATCAAGTTGAGAGTCAGAGGAGGGTCGTTGATGTTAATGTAGCCACCCCACCAGGTCAGCAGACCATCGACGAGACCGATGAAGGCCAAGATGCAAAGAATCGATGCAACAATGGTACCGGCAATCTTGATACCCAACCAAGCACCGTTGGCAAAAGCGTGGATGGCGTTCTTGGCCTCGTGCTCATCGTCATCAGGGATGACGACCTTTCCCGCAGTCAAAGTCTCCTCCTTCTCGGGGTAGCGAAGCTTGGAGATGGCGATGGAGGCGGGGATGGACATGACGCATGATGACACCATGGCCTGGGCGTTGAGACCCAAGTTGATGTAGGCGACGAGGGTGGAACCAGAAATGGTTGCGAAACCGCAAGTCATGATCTGATGGATCTCGGCCTTGGTCATGTGAGGGACGAAAGGACGAACCAACATGGCAGACTCGCCCTGACCGATGAAGGGAGTGGCGGCAGCGACGACAGCCTCAGCACCAGAGACGCGAAGGGCCCAGAAGACGAAGGTTGCGAACTTGCCGATGAACCACTGGAGGAAGCCAATAAAGTACAGGACCTGGACAATGGCGACGAAGAAGATGATGGGAGGAATGACGCCAGTGATGAACCAGTGAAGATCAAGCACACTCTCAGCAGTGAGGAAGGCCGTTCCCTGGTTGGCGAAGCCAAGCAAGTCACCGGCACGGTCCGCAATGAACTTGAAAATATCGTAACCGACGCCGGTGCGAAGCACGAAAAGCGCAATAATGTACTGCGAAAGCATACCGCCAATAACGGGACGCCAGTTGATACGCTTGCGATCGTTCGAAGTAATCCAGAAGCAGGCCAGGATGACGATGAGACCGAAGATGGAAACGGCACGGTTCTCGCGGTTGTTATCGGCCGACTCCTCCGAAACGAACGAGCCAACGAGCATGACAGCAAGCGTCACGGCAGCGCCAGCGACAGTCCGGAACTTGGCAGGAATGGCGTTGTAGATGACGAGAGCAGTGTGTTGCCACACAAATTTGATCGGCCGGGAGACGTACGAGCTCGGGACGTAGAAGAAGAGGAGGCGGAGGGAAATGCAGAGCCAGACAAGGAACGGAATGACCCAGTTCTTGTCATTGCGGTGCTCGATGAGCGAGGCAATCCACCAGCCGGTGAAGAAGCAGAAGAGGAGGATGTGGAAAACCCACTTGTACCTCCGGTAGAGGATTTTGAACTTGGAGGGCTTCTTCTCCTCCTCCTCATCGTTGGAGGCCACGACGCCGGTCTTCTCGCCATCGTAATCAGGGGGTCCGCTGAGCTTGTCGCCCTTCTCAATGTCATGGGGCTCAACGGAGTGCTCGTGGAGGTGGCTCTGGTGCGGAACGGTCGTCTCTCCGGTCCTGGTGTAGGTTACGTTGTCGTCGTGACCCTTGACATCAACACGAGCACTGTGGTGCAGATGTTGATGCTGGTGCTGGTTGTGGATTTCCAGCGCCGGGTCTGAGTTGCGACGGGGTGGCGTGCTACCGGCCGTGGTGGTGGTGGTCTGGTTGACCTCGGTGACCTGGGCAGACATGGCTGAAGGATATGCTTCTTTAAAGCACGCCGACAAAGAGAGGAAAGGATGGAGGGAAAGGTAGGGCTGAAAGAAGCGTTGGGCAACTTAAAACCAATTCTTTCAATGGTCTACCAAACGAGGAGACCGTGGGCCACACAGTTGAAGGCGCCCTGGCGTACTTTGGGGAGGTTGACGGCGAGGAACTTGAGAAGCAGCTGCACGACACAAGACCCTTACAATAGACGAGCCTCGAGGGGAAGCCCTCTTTAAAAAGCCCCAGTGCGACGATCAAGAAATCCGAAAGTAGTGCCGAGGCTAGGCTAGGCAAGTAAAGCAATGCCTACGACTCGTCGACCTTATCAGCAACCAGGTCGGGATGGAGTTCGCCGCCCTTTTGGTGTGGAGGAAACCCTCATGCGGTTCGGTGCCCATCTCGGTGGATTGACCCAAATTCTGGACGAACGGCTAGCCAACGAGGGGTGCGGGATGGGATGGGCGACAGGGTTCACGGGTGTGGGATTGACGAACAACTGCTGCACCAGAGATACTGGGTGGCCAGGGTAGCAAGGGAGTGTGGGAGTGTGGGAGTGTGGGAGGGAGGACGCCAAAGCGAGAATCAGGGACGAGATTGGAGCAGGTTGGAGGAGTAAGACGATATCTTTCGGGACGGACAGACGAGAGAGTGGCAAGTCGCCCAGTCTGTGTGTGGGCCGGCCGCTGACGGCTCTCATGGAGTGACAGACTGGCTGTCCATACGGATACTCTAGGGTCTATCAGCAGCGATTGTTGGTATTGTTACCTGGCAGTATGACGCTACGGATACTCTCTCAAGTCTTGGACCCTTGATGAAGCTATTGCTGGCCAAGGTAGGTAGGTACTTTGGCCAGATAGACGGTGTGGTGACGGGAGAAGTTACTGTAAAGTAATCGATACCAAATCCACTCGCGTATGCCAAATTCCACTAAGACTCCAAGTCGACGGGGTTAAGATACCGGTCGGGTTAATCAGAAAGTTTAGTCTTATTCTTGGGAAGTTGGGAACCCTTCGATTGTTGCTCGGTGTGCTTGCGATAAGGAATGTGTTTTTTATCTTAATTTTTTGGCACTTTGACAGTGACTGGACAGGGATAGTCGCCGCACCCAACGGCACAGACTCTCGATCAGAGCCGGGCCAAGACCTTTAGCTCTCGCCGTGAGTGGCAAAGCTAACGGCGTGCTTCCGGTTCTGGAAGGTTAATGGAACGATGGATACTTGCGGTGGAGTCGACTGAGATTGAAGAGACGGGACTGGACGTGGGAAAGATGGTCTAGCAAAAGGGCAGGGCTAGCGTGTGGGTGTGAATAATTGCCGAGTTGTTGGACAAACAATTGGAGGTCCCGGCAAGGATCGAGACTGGCTGGACTCATGGGCGAGACGCGTCGGCCGAGTCCATGCACGAATCATGGCCCTTGAACCATCCCATGATGAGATCTGCTCGTTTCTTCTCTTGCCAGGAATCATGGCCAAGCAGTACCTAGCACCGGCCAGCGAGCACGTAGGCTCGTAGGTACTCAGACAAAGTACGGAGTGCAAACTACAGTCATTTGAAGGACTTGAGACTCTGGTACAGTCAAACATGCCGGGGCAGTGGTTCCCGGGGATGGCGTTTTGTGTCTTTGACTAAGATCATTAAGGGGTCCCTGATAGGCCCAAGACCGGGCCTGTTTCTGTACGATGGAAGGTGTGGCAGATCCTTCCGCTCTGCTGGGCGCAAACATGGCCAAGGGGGCCGACGCCCAGTGCCCTAAGAGGCGCGCGAAGTGACCCCCAAGCTGTCAGAGAGACACGGAGACATGCGGAGAATCGGGACTGACTGGCGATAGCTCCATCAGCCGCCGCGGCGCCACCAAAGCCATGGATCGAAAGGGCCGCTAGAGGCCGGTGAGCACATACGCCCACGACACGGGTCGAGATGCGATGCCTTGACACCTGCTCGACGTGGACTATCAGAGTAGGTGAGTAGGTATCAATGTCTGATGCTCAATAATTGAGGCACAGCATCTCGACCTGCTGCTCATGGCTGCTCATGGCTGCTCACTTTACAATGGAATATGGTAAGACCAGCGATAAGAGCAACCCCTGCTAATCACTGTATTCGCTTCGAGTTCGTAAGGATGTGGATGCTCAATTGGTCTCTCAGTAATCTCCCCTTCCACCGCGTGCAGTGCTGAAGCAATGAGGCGAAATAAAAAGTCAAGATTGGCGAGCTGGCCCTGTCATTCGCAAGTGTAAGCGAGCCCTAAACGTCGGATTCCTGGACCGGACCGCGCACTATTGCGAATGAAGCTTGCGATCAAGTCAACAGCGCATGTGCAGGTTGTCGGAGGATGACAGATAGTTGGTGTGGGAAGCATGTCAATCTTGGGCTTTCCCCGGTCCTCTCTATCACTGTCCTCAGTTCTTCGTCTGGCCCTTTGTCGTCGGATAAGGCCGAGAAGACAGAATTTAGGGATGTATCATCATCTATCAGACTAACGTTGCCAGACGAGAACTCCCAAGTTCCGAGAACACCTTGAGCACAGGCACCAAGTTGACCACACAAAAGGGCCTGGACCTGGGCGCATCTAGCATCCCTCCCCCCTCCTCCCCTCCTCTCACTCCCATGCTTCAGCATCCACGTCTTAGTGCGCGGACTAAGGGTGCAGGGCGGGCAGAGGATGTGCTCCACGCCACCCTGGGGAACATGAGCAAGGTTGCCGGGCCTCTTAGGTTGCGGGTTGCAGCCGTCGTATCTGTGTGCCCAATCCAGTCAACGAGCGCGTGCGACTCTGTTGTCGAGATTGGCCCAACACAAAAGTGCCATGCCTTTCGCCTTTCAGCTTCGGTCGGCTCCGCCATTCCAATTGAGTCTGTTGGCTGGGAACCTGGAGACTCTGTACCATTTACAGGCACGTGAAGTGTCTCCGATGATAAGCTTAAGGTGAGCTCCGACGACGCCAATGCGAAACTGAGCCTGGCTTACAGCTTGTTAGCCTGGCTCCTTCGCTGTCCTCCGACAGCCATTTATTCACAATTGAGCCTTTGCGCGCGCAAGACTGATCCCTCGATTCCCGATACAGAAGATCCAAGTGATCATGATCAGTGGGAGTAATACTTACGGACCGGGGACTTGACAATGTGACACCTTCGACGCAGTATGCGAGAACGGGATATGTCTAGCATCCCCGTCGGCTCCCGCATTGAGAGCGGAAATGATTATCAACGGGCTGGTTAGCTGCGCAACTGGGTCAGCGCAAACCCGCGGATCCAGAGACGCTACCACGTGTGGTCTCCGCCCCCAGATCCAACATCGCGGACCGCCGCACTCGCAGAGTGGTAATGACATTTCCTTACGCATAGAGTCTAAGACCGAACCCGCGACTCCACTCCCGGGCATTCGATTGACATCTTCGAGCACAGCAAGCACATGGCGGGCAAGCTGGGTCTTATTCTTGGCTACTAGACAACCGAGAAAACCTTGTTTACACAAAGGCTTCCGTACCGATACAGATGCACGCTCAGTCTCTCGTGACTTTGTGACTATTTGTACAGGCTCCATTCCCCCCCGCCTGACACACTGAGCAATTACTAGGATCCGTATGAAACACACGTATAGTGGTGCCAACTTCCAAGGCAAATCTTCCAACCAATGTGACAGCTTTCTTATTAGGATACTGAGATGCTAATTGTCGTGCATGTTCAAGTGACTTCATCCGATGAACGCCAAGTCATTTCAGTTCGTTCAATCTTTCCAGATCTAAGGTATTTCTATAACGTGTAGATAAAAAGTAGAGATTCCAGAGATGATGCCATCACCAACCTTCCCTAAGCCATTCATGCACGTGTGCAAGCCACACTGAGCGCGAAGGAATACGTCTCCGTTCTGAGGTCCCGATGCAAAATTCTACTCAATGGAAGATCCCCGGATCATACCCTTTTAAATGTGACTTGCGTATTCAGCACATATAGACATCGTCATTTGTCAATGTTTCTCATTTGCCAAGCAGATAAGGACGGTGAGGTATCGTCGCTCCCGCGCCACACGCACAGTCTTACAAGAGCCAGCGATACAGGATAGTGGGCTTTCTATAAGCAATTCAAGCTATCTCATCCCAACGAGACGGCAGGCATAGATGGACCAGAACGATATCTGACAAGCTGCTAGGCACATCAATTGGTACCGGCTTTGGCCTTGTATCCGAGATGGCGCAGGGAGGGCAACGTGAGGAAGTGAGCAGAAATTTCCGAGTAAGTATCTTTGTCTGGGATGACGCAGTTCGGCGTGATCCGTGAAAGATCTCCAGCGCCAGGAGAGCAGAGGGCTCCGAGGTTAAATTTGACAAGGAATCTGTCAGTATTCGTTTCAGACTAGCGACACTGGCTGCAGCAATGATTTGAAGACGCTTCCACATAAGGTGTTGTAGAGCGACTTCGGTCGATAAGTGGCTTTAACTCCGCCTGCGTATGCCGGTGGAAGATGAATCAGCTCTGCTCCTGATGTATTGGTGCGTAACCTGCAACCGTCGTTACATACGTGTCTCTTGGACGTTGCTCAGTATTGGCAGCTGCCTCGCATACCTTTTCCACTGGGACACATTTGGTGTCAATTGCACCAGAAGCTTCAACTCGGGTGTGCTTGAAGAGTTCCATTAAGTACCAAACCTCTTGTCAATATCTAACGCTTCCCGCCTGTTCATGTAGCGTTTCCGAAGACGAATCAACCGCCGGCCAACTACAGTACCCCCTCCCAAAACCATATTAGTTTAGCCAGGTCAAGGATCAAAAAACTGTATGACATATCATTGCTGTTCCGCAACCGCCCTCTGGCTCTTCTCCTGCACTTCTGTCTTATAGCCCTTGAACTTGCGTGCTGGGACCTGCTTGATGAACATCTCATCAAGCTCCTCGTAAGACCGGCCAGCAACCTCAGGTTGGTAAAAACAGAGGTAGACAGTGGACAAAATGGAAAAGCCACCGAAGATGAAGGCAACCTTGGCACCGAGGTTGGCTTGGTCGGGATTGAAAAGGAAGGGGATAACAAACGCCCACATGGTCTGGAAGAGAGATGTTAGTTTGCACACCAAGAATGACCTTGGCTAACAGGATCCAACTTACGAAGAGACTGTTTTGCAGAGCCAGTGCCATAGAAGCAGTCTTAGCACGGAGACGCGAAGTTGCGACCTCGGTCAGGAGGGAATATGCTGTGGCTCCAATGGTGACGTTGTAGATATAGCAGTACACCAGCAGCAGTGCGACGGTTCCCTTGACGGCACCAGGTGTTGCAGCGACCGCAAGACCACCGGTAATCATGAGAAGGACTGTCAGAGTGCACATTCCCCAGAGAGTGAGACCACGGCGACCAATTCGATCAATGAGGAACCATGCGGTGACATTGCCGAGCATGGACATGACCTGCTGCACAATAGCCAGCGTAAAACTCTCCTTGGTGCTGTAGCCGGCCAATTGCTGGTAGTAGGTAGAGTATGATGCAACAAAGAAAACACCTATACAGAATTAGTCAAAGGGATAACTGTGATACGACACGAAGAACGTACCGCATAGAGCCTGGATGCTTAAGGGCGCGACAGAGATGATGGTGCGGCGAAGGTTGGACTTGCGGAAGCACTCGGCAAAACTGGCGCCGTCGGTCTCCTTGCGAACCTCAGCGAGGGTGAGAGTAATGATAGAAAGACGCTTCTCGACCTGGACGGCATCGTAGCCAAGACGACTTAGAGACTTTGCAGCCTTCTGCATCTTGCCCTGATTGACCAACCACCATGGCGATTCCGGCATGAAGAACAGCAATAGAGCACCAACTCCGCTAACGCCATACTGCGACACAAAGATCGTGCGATAAGCCCAGCGGTCGGTTCGAGTTCCAGTCTCGTTGACAACCAGAGAGACGATGAATGGGCCAATTGTGAAGGCGATGGCCGCAGCGGCGGTCAAGATGCCGCGAAGAGCCAAGGGCGCGATCTCGCCAATGTATGTCATGCTGACTGTGATGAAGGCGCCGATGGGGAATCCGGCAACAAACTTGCCCGCGAAGAAGATCTCGTTGGTAGTGGCCACTACCTCTAAAGTGATGCCGGCAAATAGTAAACAAAAACTGATGAAGTAGGTCCACTTGCGGCCGATGCGGTCAGCCACCCAGCCAGCACCGAGGGATCCAACGACGGCACTGTGATAAAGAGTGACGTTAGCTCATGCCCGAAAGCTGTAGGGATAGAAAGTGAACATACGAGGCGACAGGTGCTCCGCTGTAAGCCGATTGCCACTTGGCGGGGAGAACATAGTTGCCATTGAATTCGGAACCGAAATCCTTGCGGAACTGAGGGATTCCAATGACCGTTCCACCCGCCTGGTTATCAAAGCTCGTGAGGATGAGGATATAGATGGCATAAATACACCACGCAAACGCCCACGGCTGGTTCTTGATGGCTTGGAAAACAGTTTCCTCGTGATCTTCTGCCGTCGCGGCGTGGCCAATCTCTTCAACGTGCTCGCCCTTTGCCGCGGCGATGTCGTCCTTGTCGACGATGGACGTTGGGCGCGCCTCGAGGTGTTTGTCGTCCATGACCGCCACTATTGTCAACTCTGGGTGAGGAATAATCGAAGGAGTTGAAAAACGTCGGGCCGAACAACTTAAAGTTGAGAGAAAATCTGGGGAAAGCACCGACGATCTGGGGAAGTTGAGGAGTTCGCGACTGGGGAACTGGGGCAAAGTTCAACAAAGCCAGGAATGTCCCCGGCTCTTATTGTCCAGGACTTTTCAGCAGCCTTTCAGATGGAGGCAGTTGTAGGCACTTCTTCGGATCAACGTCGTCTCAATGATCGGCCGACACTAGCCCACATTCTATAGTGCAAGCCCCCTTTCTTCGTGGTGGCGTTCCTCGTCAGGTCCGAGGCCAGGCGTGATCGTTCTCAAGGTAGACCCGCCTCCTCACCCAACCGTTTGGTTGACTCTTGCGGGGGAGGGGCCGGTCCACGCTATTGTCAGATGTTGCTTGCATTGTGGTAGCCGTGGCATTGCGTTTCACTGACGATTCGGCCATGTTGCCGGCAAGTGTTGACCAAGGGTGGTTGTCAATAGCGCACGCGGTTGGCGCTCCTGAGTCAGTCTATGACCCGAAGAATAACCTGGAGGCTTTGGTTGGCTATGATCCAAAGGCTGCTAACCCGAAGAGTGACAGTACGACTTAGCCATGAGATGAACTTGGACTTGGTGCCGATGCCAGTCGCAGTCAAGTCTGGACATGGACTCTGGCCTGGGCCAAAGGTGTCAGTGACCCGCCGTTTCGGTAGTGCAGTCTGGGGACCCCACAGACACAGCTATATCCCGGCTGATGCATGAAATTGCAGATGAAGTATGCGGGGGGCTCACCTGAGCATCATCAGAATCGCTGTTTGCTCCGAGTCTCTGGGGATTTGGGTAGTTTCTGTGGTTGAAGTTGTATCAAGTATTTGAATGTACTTCTCATTTCTTGAGACGCCCGACAACAACAATAACAACTGTAGTCCAGCATTGGATACGACATGCCCTTGATCTCGACAGTTCCAGAGAGCAGACGCGGTGTGAACTTGTGGCAGCTCGGCATTTGCGCAAAGGAGCCTCTTCTAGCTCGGGGCCGTTCCTCGGTCTAATCATGCCGCCAAGGAGCCAAAGACTTTGCAAAATCTGAACAGGGACCTTACGAGACGAAGACGATTCTAGTCCACCCGCAGCTCATCCGTAGTTCTACCGTTGTTGAACCCTCTTCTTCGTTCAGCTGACCTGTTCCATTGGAGTTCCAGACGCTTGTCGATTCAGCTTGTCATGAATCCTGACTCTTCCTCGGTTTATCCCCGCACCGGCTCCAGAAATGGTCTCCACGCCGACATCGCCATGGGTCTAAAAAGTCCCGATTGAGCAATCAGAAGCGTCAGCCACATTCCCCTCCTCTCGAGCTTCGGTGCTTTCAATTACCCTTCTCGGGTGGTTGTCACACCGAAGCGTTTATGGATCCTGTTTGGGATCGTGGCGTCTTCAAAGGCATTCCCCAAGCTCCAACGACCTGGACCCAAACCCATGTTCTGCTAGCAACCACAGACAAACACAAATCTCTTGTTCATGTTCAGCCCCGAATCACGCGCCTTGTCCTCCTGAATGCTACGATAGTCTCTACTTCCTTGTCGACTCCAAGTCATTCACCCACCATGGCAGATGCTCCCGAGGATATGGTCGAGAGCGTGCTCCCGACGCGCTGGAATCGAGACTTTGAAAAGATCGCCAATGATCTGTGCCCACAGCTGCAGCGATGGACACGAACTCCTCAACGCGTCATCAAATTCGACAAAGACGAGAGCCAGTACTTTGGTGTTCGTGCCACGCCTGCGGAATACCCAATTGACAAATTACCGTCCAAGACTTGGGGGAAAGGAGATGATTTCATTCTCGACTTTGGTATTCACATGGTGGGATATGTCTCGATGAGACTAGAGTCCCGGGGCTCACACATGGACGCCCCATGCAGGTTGCGCCTCACGTTTGGCGAATCTCCCTTGGACGTGACACTGGGGATGGAAGATGTTGAAACATGGATTAGCACCAGCTGGCTTCCGGACGAAACCATCAATATCGACATGTGTCCTGAGGAGGTCTCTCTATCTCGACGATATTCTTTCCGCTTCCTTCGAGTTGAAGTCATCGACACCTCACCCAAATACAGGGTCACATTTTCGGACGTCAAATGCCAATGTGTTAGCGCCATCGGCCAGAACCACTCCCTGGAGGCTCCGCAGTTTAATGACTCTCTCCTCCAGCAGATCGACCACGTCAGCATATCGACACTGAGAGATTGCATGCAAACCGTCTTTGAGGACGGGCCTCGAAGGGATCGTCGGCTGTGGAGCGGAGATCTTCGGCTTCAAGCGCTTGCAAACTATAGCACCTTCCGGGACTTCAACCTCGTAAAGCGCTGCATCTTCCAGTTCGCTGCCGTGGTCCGCGAAGATGACTCCGTGCCAGCTTGCATCTTTGAGCAGCCTCAGCTCACGCCTTCGACTGACTACATTGTAGACTACGACGCGCTATTCGCCGCCATTACGTACGACTATGTGGTGGCATCGGGCGACAAAGCTGCCGGTCATAGCCTTTGGCCCACCGTCCTCGGCTGCGTGAAGCGGGCACGCACGCATCTTGATGCTACCACTCACGCATTCGACGAGTCCAAGGGCGAAGGATGGAAGTTCCTTGACTGGCAGCCTGGGCTGGAACATAGCGCAGGACTGCACGGGGTCCTGCTGTATTCTCTGAAAGCAGCCAACTCCTTGGCCACGGTCCTCGGCAAAGAAGCCCCTTTTGTGGACCTCGTGGCCCAAATGACCGAAGCAGCGAAGGTGTTCCTTTCTCCAGATAACGTCTTCGTGTCTGGTCCCAAGGCACAGGTTAGCTTCGCGTCGGCGTCTTGGCTTATTCTTGCAGAGGCCTTCCCTCAGGACGTCGGCTGCAAGGCCCTGCTCAACACACTTAGACACCCCGACGCTCTCAAGCCTCTGACCCCCTACCTATGGCACCATGTGTGCGATGCCCTCGCTACCGTGGGCTTGTACGAGAAGTGCGTGGAGATCATGGCCAGTTACTGGGGAGGTATGGTCCGCGCCGGTGCAGACACCTTTTGGGAGTGCTACAACCCCGAAGATCCTCGGGCAAGTCCCTACGGCGATGCTCGAAACAACAGTTTCTGTCACGCTTGGAGCTGTACACCAACGTACCTTCTTAGGGGAAAGCTGAGAGAGTTCGTGGGCGTCAAGGAAACGAAGTCAGTCACCATGGGTCACTTGGACGAAGATTGGATCCAGTCACAGGTCGGTGGTCAATAAGGCCGTGATCAGTCGAAGATTAGAGCAGAATGAATCTAAATCACCCATCAGGCATCGAGTCAAGTGGTAGACGCTAGAGAAGATTGACAATCATTCCCCGAATGATATATGCAGCTTGGCTTTTCCAATTAAGTAAATATGTACAGGAAAATGAGATCAGCTCGTTCTTGTCGAGCCGGATCCTGGTTGCTTCATGTTCATGAACTTTTTCCGCTTAAGCGGCGCCAGCAAGAGCACTGGCGGGCTTAGCACCAGGGTAGAAGGTGGTGGGGATGGCGGGGATATCGATGGACTTGGTGATACCGAGTCCGGCGGTGACGAGGCCGGGCATGGTGGCAGCGGAGTAGCTGGTAACGGTCTTGGTGGTAGCGGTGCTGGTGTAGGTTCCAGAGCCGGTGCGCATGCAGTGACCGGTGCCGAAGGCGTTGTTGCACTTGTCGACGATGGAGGAACCAGACTCGGTCCAGATGTTGATGCCGGACACGTCAATGTTCTCGCAAGGGACGGCGGCAGCGCAGAGGGCGACCACGGGGCCGCGAGCGGCACCGTTGGCGGCAGTGCCCTTCCAGTTGGAAAAGGTCAGGTTCTTGTACTCGACACCGTTGCCGGCGACCTTGCTTTGGCCGGTCCATGCGGCGTCGATCTTAAGGGAGTAGGCGTTGCCGTGACCGATGAAGTTCTCAAACTTGGCGTTCTGGAAGGCACCATCACCACCGTTGTTCTTGATCATGAGCATCTGGTTGGAGTTGGAGGTGTAGACGTTGCGGTAGTGGATGTCGGAGATTGCTACGGACAAGTCTTGTTAGTAGTTGCATCGTCACTGGGCGAGTCCTCTCGAAGCTTGAACGTACCAGTGTCAACACCCAGGGAGCCGATGCCGCAGCCACCAGACCAGTTGCAGAAGACGTTCTCGATGAGGATGTTGCTGGACTTGTTCTTGACAGTGACGCACTCGTCCTTGTTGGTGACGGCGACGTCGTGAACGTGCACGTTCTTGGCAGCCATCAAGTTGAAGCCATCAAGACCACCCTGGTTTCCACCACGAACAATCATGTTGTAGACCTCTCCGTTGGTGACGGTGTCCATGACGAAGTGGAAGGCCGGTGAGTCGACGAGGGCGATGTCATGAACGCTGAAGTCGGTGACAGAGACGAATCTCAGGAGACGAGGTCCGTAGACGCCGCTTCCCTCTGCCTTATTGTCAGTATGCAACAATCTAGTTGAAATGGGAAAGGCATACGCTTGTGGAATTCATATCCATAGCCCTGCATGGCACCCTTGGAGTTGCCGCTGTAGAACTCGACATCGGTCGACTTCTGGACGATGATCATGTGGCCGCCAGCAGTTCCAGTGCGGTAGATGGTACCCTCCAGGTTGATGGAGACACCAGTTCCGCCGGAGAGAGTCTGCCAAGTGCCGAGACCCCATTCGCCGGCGGGGATGAGGATCTCACCTCCGGTCTTGCAGGCGTCCCAAGCGGACTTGAGGGCGGCGCCGATGTCTCCGGTGGCACCGGTCTTGGCACCGTAGCTGGTGATGTTGCATGTCTTCTTGGCGGCCTTGGTAGCGGCCTTGGTGGTAGGTCCAACGGTGCCGGACAGCTGGGCGTTGGCCAGTTCCGGGATAAGAGCGCCCAGCGCAAGGAGTGAAAAGGAAGTGAACTTCATGTTGGTAGATTTTGAACGAGTGAAAACCGACAGAAACGTCGAGAACTGGAAGAGCAAAAGAAAACGAGAGACACCGGAATGGCAAGATGGAATGAACAGGGAAACAACAGGCTTGTATTTCTTCGAGAAAAAGGGCCTTTATGGGATGACCAAAGGAATCCCTCCTCCGATTCCCCTTACCAATGGGTCCAGCAGCCTTACCTCGACTCCTCTGCTCGATTCGCCATTTGCAGCATCCACGCCGCTTCCGCCAGCGACCCCACGATTCATCCCATCGTTTATGGGAAATTGAACGGAACAGGTGCTCTGGAAAGTGGCTGTTTGACGAATCACGAAAATCGAACCCTCTGCACCCGGGATTCCGACGCCGTGTTAAATTAAAAGAACAACACAGACAGTGGGCTCAAGAGCGAGCTCGCTTCACCCAAATGCCGTCCCGAATGGGTATTAGAGGTATGAAATAGAGTACATGGTGGCGCTATCGGGGCCTGGCCACCAGACCATTCTCTTTACCCCCGGTAGTTTTGTCAGGGATACTGCTTGTTGGACAGCTTTACCTCAGCATCCCTACTCTGCAAAAACTTGAGATCAAATCTTCTCGACGAACCAGGGCCATCAGGGGCTGATCTGGAGCGGCGCTGGGGGTGAGCTTTGGTGAAACAAAAGGAAACGGCACAGATGAGCCGCGTCATGGTTGCAGTTCGTCCCGTCGTGGTCAAAGTATATCCCATTTGTTTGGCACACGCTGCCCACGGCATGGGCAACAGACTGATTAAAAAGAGATGACCCAGCGGTATCCGTATCTTCTGCCCAATAAGTTAAGAATTGTCTCAACCATCATCCCACAGTTTGGTATTATCAAGATCCAAACTGGGGGCTGACGACTGATGATCTGGGCGCGGCAGAAATTCTACCCAGCGTCATGTCCCACGTCCCAACCAGAAAATATCGGCATCCCACTGCCGGGGCCAAGTTCGAAACGGCCTAGGGGAGAAATCCCCAAGTCCTCGTTTTGATTACGGAAGCCCACAGCCTTCGTATCACATACAGAACGTCCGGGTATGCACTTCCGTACCCCGTCCTCCGGACTGGCCAAAGACCGATCTTTCTGGAACTGCTCCCATTCGGATTGCCAAGCAACGTGCCGCAACGGCGATGCTCCGCGAGCCAAGACGGGGGAAGCTGGAGCAATAGATCGGAGCCACTATCGGATTATGCGTGCCGTTCGGAGAATATTCTCTCTATCCTCCTTCTCCTTCGGGACTTGGCCCATCACGAATCATTTCAGCCTTTTCAGGGCTCACCCGATATGATCCGCTGTGCAATGGTCCGAGAATCTAGATGAAGATCTCCTCGATCAGGAACTCCATTTATTGGCTACTGCCGGCACTTGACTCGCCCACGCGAAGGGCCACAAAATTGGAGCGGAACCTCCACTAGGCAGTGAGTTCATCGATGATCACGGGTCCTGTGACAGACGGCAAACGCGGCTTAATCAGCGGCCTCGCTTCTTGATTTCAACCCTCACAACTTGTCTCTAGGAGTAGATGAACCGAGAATCGTGACCTCGACACAGTCACTGGACTTGAGAAACATCTGGAACACGGAGCCCGCTGTTCTTAACACTGGTATCCGTACATACCTCGTACTTTGCACATGTGGTGACGAAGCTGCGTGGCTGCCAAATGAGCACTCCACCATGCCAAGCTATTACCATTTTTTTCTCTTTTCGTCTCCTTTCCCATCCATCTAGGTATCCGTACCACTGGCGTCTAAGATCTCGATATGCACGACCTCTCAACATCCCGTGAGCCAAGAATAAGCTTACCACTGCAGCGCAAAATGGGCGGCATGTCAGCAGAAGGAGTGGGACCAACCACGAGGGCTTGAGGTCCAAGTGAGACTGTCTGTGAGACCCAGCCCTCTGGCGTCTGACAGCTGGAACTGCGCCGCCGCCTCCGGGGTTCCTTTGGCTCACGTCCCGGCGGCCTTCGCCTTGACTCGAAGCGTCCTGGTCGCCGACTCGTCTCTCAGCCCCAAGACGCTCAGCAGAGACTCAGGTTGCAGCTCAGCCCTGCGACGCATGCCTATCGCGTTTGTTTTACGGGGCTGACGGTGCTACTCTGCCTACCACCAGGCTCTGTATCTTGCATACTCAGCTCTTCCATTTGCTCGGAAAGGCCCGAGTCCGGGGGAAGAAGAAGAACAAGAAGGATTCTAGAGATCCGGATGCATGGGATGCAGATGCCCGTCTCCATAGCCTATACCATACTTTATTCCGTAGGGCCGCATGCCCCTAGCTTCGGGAGTTTAGAAGGCGGTGCGGTGCGTATGCGCAGCAGACTTCCAACGTGCTGCTTGATTTACACCCATTCCGGCATGGGATGAAGGGCACACTTTGGTCACGACAATGGCTGGTTTGCTATCTAGCTGCAGCCGCTTCGCGAGATCCCTCTGGGCAGCACAGCCGGCTATAGTAAGGTATAGGCTAATCAGAGCGGAAATGATGAAAATAGTTTCCGAGCAAGTGATGTGTATCTCGAAGTTGTTGTTGTTTGATGTCTATAAATCCAATTTGATTCCCCCTCCGATATTGCCTCTGTTTTTTCTCATCATCAACCACTTTGAACAGCTCATCCACATAGCTCAGCAATTTTCTTTTCCTCCTTTTTCTTTCCTATTTCCTTATTTCCTTTGTCGGTTTCTCTTTCCTTGGGACAATCGCTTAACCCTCAAGTCTTCACTTCACCACTTTCGCAGCCGTCAACTTTTGCTTGATCTGAACTCAAATCCACCAGACCTAACCAACAATGCATTCTTCCATCGTCCTCACTTTCCTCGCTGCTGTCGCAACTCTTGCCTCGGCAAGCCCTGCCCTCGACACCAAGCGCGACGACACAGTCTGCGCGCCGGGGACTGGCTTCTTCCAGTCCTGTGCCAATGGCTTCCGCGGCTGCTGCAAGGCCGACGCCTGCACCATCGGCTACTGCCCCGACGTGACCGGAGCCTCCGCCGACGCTCCGGCCGAGACCACCCCCGTCACTCCCGGCCGGTCGGCCAACCAGCAATCCACGGACCCTACCGTCTGCCCTGCCGGCACCGGGTTCTTTCAGTCCTGCTCGAACGGCTTCCGTGGATGTTGCAAGGAGGACGCCTGCACCGTTGGATATTGCCCCTCTGCCTCTGTGAAGCGTCAGGACCCGACTGTTTGCGCTCCCGGCACCGGTTTCTTCCAGTCTTGCTCCAATGGCTTCCGTGGATGCTGCAAGTCTGACGCTTGCACTCTCGGCTACTGTCCTACTACTACTACTACTACCTCAGCCTCCGAGAAGCGTCAGGATCCCACCGTCTGCGCCCCCGGCACCGGCTTCTTCCAATCTTGTTCCAACGGCTTCCGAGGCTGCTGCAAGTCCGAAGCCTGCACTCTGGGCTACTGTCCCGATCTGACCACTGCCTCCTCAAAGCGCGCCGCCGACCCCACCGTCTGCGCCCCCGGCACCGGCTTCTTCCAATCTTGCGCCAACGGCTTCCGCGGCTGCTGCAAACAGGACGCCTGCACCATCGGCTACTGCCCGGACGTCAAGACCTTTGAGACGGTAACCAAGACGGCTCCTCAGACGACCGTCACCCCGACCCCCAAGACCAACTCCCACACCAACACGGACCCGACCGTCTGCCCTGCCGGCACCGGCTTCTTCCAGTCGTGCGCCAATGGGTTCCGCGGGTGCTGCAAGTCTGATGCTTGCACGATCGGCTACTGTCCTTCCAACTAAGGGATTGGTTATTGACAAGTACTTGGGCATAAATGAACCAAAGAGTGTTGTTCGAAGGGGCATGCTAGGATGGGACTTGGTTTAGATGGCATTACACGGTGGAGTTTGAGCATAGCATTACGGCCTCTGTTCTTTTTTGATTTTAGTACTGTAGCGCATGTTGGTCGATTTGGTCACTTAAAAGATAATACACTCACATTCCTTTACAATTTCTTTCTGTGTTGCACTTGCTATGATGAAAATATGAATCCAAACGTTCTGGAATCTGGCGAGGCATGGATAGGAAAGCGGCGAGGGGTCCAAATATGCTACCACAAGACAAGGTAAAGTATAAGCATGTAATTGCTAATGAAATCGCGAGGCTATGCTTGCAGGCCTCAAAAGGAAGTGAAGAAGTAATCGTGAAACAGCGCAAAAGGACCTCCCCTCATATATTCGCACCAGCCTTGGCCTGTTACCCAGCCGCAGTCCCAAACCACTCTCCTTCCACCTACTCAAGTCCCCTGAACCGGCGGTTGAACTCCTCCACAGCCACAGCTACCATCTTGTACAAAAAGGCGCGGCCACTTTCATCGCCAACAGGCAGGAAGGGACCGTTCGTGCCTCCTCTCAGCGTCAGGCTTAGACCGGTGCGCTCCTTGGCAATTGTCTGGACGTCCTTCAGGGGCACATCCCATTCCGAGGTCAGTCGCCGGCTGCGAATAAGCAGAATCCGAGCGTAAGTGACCATGACAACCATGTCCTCGCGTGGCAGTTCGAGATGGGCAATGTAATTCTCGTTGAAATACTTGCCATTGTCGACCTGCTTCAACCATGACTGGCCAAGGGCTTCCCGGGCATTATATGGTCGCACGATACCATCAGACGGTACGAATCGAGCAGGCCGGACGCGATCGAGCTCTGAGCCGTCAAAGACGGTGGTCGTGTTGCGGATGCCTTCCGAAACATTCGAGGCCATGTCTAGAACGCCAATAGCGGGCTTGGTAGCGAATCCGACAACCCCCTTTCCGATTCCCTTGAAGAATCCAACGGCTCCCTCCTGTTCGGCACCCTCCAACGGTTTGCGGACGAGTCCGCCCACGCCTGAAGCGGCACTTGTGAAAAAAGAGTTGGCGCCAGTGGTAACACCATACAGAGCATGTTTGGGCCGATTACGCGCACGCGTAATGCGACGACGATCTTGGAATTGCTTGTCGAGAGTTGCAGCTGCAAGGCCCTTTGACAAGCTCCCTGTGAATTTGGAGAAGGAATCGGTGAAGCCGTAGACAGACTTCTTGACAAGTGACGCAGCTCCCTTCGCAACTCCTATACCAAAGTCCTCGGGCTTGTCCGAAAGGATGAGACCTTGATAGGGTTCGTAGAACACATCTGTGAGGCCGGAGCTAATGTTGTTGAATAAGCCCACGGGATTTCCGAGGAAGTCGGCAGACCCGAGGATCTTGTGAACCTGGTAGAGCACCTCTTGACTGTAGTGACTCGTGATATTTTGTGTCAGGGCAGCCACGGACACGCGGACATTGTCAAGCATGAGTGCATTGAGACGAATCGGCGCGTCGTTGATGTTACCGATGGCCATCGTCATGACATTAAGGAAGAACATAAGAGGGTTTCGGGACGACGTCTTGTCCTCTGCATTGACTCGTTCCGTGCGCATAAAGGAGAGATCGAGTTGCATAGGCTGGATGTTGAGCAGCTCGAAGTAAATGTCTTGGCCAGATTGCTGCCGCTGGGGCTCCGGGATATCCAGCTCCTCGTCGCAAAGCTTGCCTTCCTCATTGGTGTCTGACCAAGCGGCCCCAGGAATATTGGAGAAATCCAAGACAGCGTAAACAAAGTCCTCATCGAGCTCGATAGTCATCTGCTGCATCAAAAGTGTGGCATATTTGATGTACAGCACACCGTAAGAATCGTCCTTCACGCGAGTGACCATGGCGTGAAGCGAGGGATGTGCATCAACCTCCTGGGCCCTCTTCGGAACGACACTCGGGTACAAGATCATCGGGAACAGACCACCGTACAGCTGGTTGTCGATTTGAATCCACTTGACAGATAAGGCGATGGTCTGGTGAAGAGGAGAATCGTGGTAACGGAGAGAGACATCTCTGAATGTGACGTATGCAAGTTCCTTCAATTGAGAGTTGATGAGCGAAATTCCAATGCCCGAAAGCTTGAGCTGAGCGCGGAAGGTTGCAGTCGTCTCTTGATCTTTGACTTCAAAGCCATCGGTGCTCGTGCGAGATCCAGACTTGGACTTCTGTCGATACAGGCTCTTGGATTGCCGGAAGTTGGACAGAATCATAGTCTGGGTAGGTCCGTCAGCGGCAACATTGATGTCGATAATCTTCTGTTGTCCGGATGTTGTCGCAAACTTCATTGGAATTTGGTTGCCGATTTCCGCAAGCTTGACATGCCTCTCCTTACCATGAGCGTTGATTATAATCTCACGGAACTTGGCCGCCGGGAAATCCCATGCATATGGCATGATGCTCCTGGGCGGCAGCCTATACTTGATTGGCCTCCAGCCGGACCTGTCTTCAACTCCATCATCATCCAGGCTAGGGTTGGCCTGATAGAATGTGAACTCTGTATCACTCTCGTTCCGCATCTGGTAGGGCCAGTTCTTGGTCTCCAAGCTGAGGTGCAGGAAGATTGTTGCACCTTCCATCAAGATCTCTGCGCGAATCAGACGTTGGCGTTGGCCTGCTTTGGCGATCTTGACGTGAGTTGTTCCGATGTCCGAGATGTTGAAAGGAGAGGTCCACTGGTTGTTCATTCCGGGATGGCACAACGATAGTTGCTTGATGGAAGTCTTCTGCATGAAGTGAAGTGGCTCATGGGCGCCGGGCTTCAGCGTCATGAACCCGGAAGAGCTAGACTCTCGTACGTTGATCTCCTCTCCAAGTTTGTTCTCCAGAACGAATCGCGGTGCGAGGGTGACAACCTTGGTCATCTTGTACTTGCCTTCTCCAGCCTCAGTGGTGATGCCGATGTGCACCTCAGTGTTCCTGGAGGGCGAGGGCAGCACCACCTCGGTTGTGCTTCCGATGGCGTCAAAACTCTGCGGCTTGCTCCATTCCGAATCCGCAATCTGCAGCAAAGCTCGGTTTCTATGGTCGTCGTTGCCGTAGGAGAACATGAATGGAGTAGCTCTGGGACGGTTGCTGCCAGACCTAGAGGATAGAGTCGACTGTCCGGCTGCTGGTCGGGCGCCCTGCAAGAAGCCCTTGGCCCTGATCTGTAGGTCAAGACCAGTCTTGTTCAGGATAATGTAAGGACTGTAGACCGTGACTCGGAAAGCACCGCCACTGTCAGGAATCTTGTGATAGTGGAGTTTGAGGTTGAGCTGCAAGCCTTCCTCGTCTTTGCAGAGCAGCCTGTCTTCCTTTTTGAAGTCGTCCGAAGCCCCAGAGTTGATGATGGCGAAGTCGCTGGGCTTGAAGACAGTGTCCTGCATGTCAACACTGAGGAGGAGCAGGTGTGATAGCTCTACGACATGTACGGGGCTCAGGCCACCTTTGCGGAGGAAGTTTGCCCAGTCCTTTTTGGTGTTCTTGTCGTAAATGCGATACTTGAAATCGTAGGGAAGCAAGTTCTCGAGGATGACTGGAGGTGACAGCTTGATGCGCATGTAAGGATAGTTTCTACATGAGAGAGATTAGTCAAGACTCATGATAAGATGATGGCAGACTTACTTGGTCAAAGGATTCGACCGATCAAAGGTGGCGTTGAGCTGGAAGTAGAATGGGTCTCCGTTCTCCCCCTTGCAAACCATCGTCCGTGTTGGTCGCTTCAAGAGGTCTCTCCACCACAAGGTCTCAGAGGACCAGGCATAGCCAAATCCAGAGTCTGGTCGTACCAGCAGAGACTTCAGGTATACGGCGCCCACAGGAGCCGGGCGGCTTTCGCCGGGAGCGATCTTCTCAATCTTGAGCAGATGGCCCTCTTGCGCGTCGTAAACACCAAGCTCGACTGGGATCTGGGTAAGGTTGTCAACCACGAGGGGCGATCGTAGAGTGACATATTTGACATTGTCCTTTCCCAAGGTGACCTCGACGAGAAGTCGGTGCAAAATGTTGTCAGTCTTCGGCTTGAGGCCGTAGATCGCTTCACCCTCACGGTTCAATCTGACGTTCTTGACTGGGTCAAAGCCACTACCTTCCAAGTGAATACCGACACTACCGGTACTACTCTCGGTCGATAGGTTCTCTCGCATCTTCTCCCACGGCTCGAAGCTCCAAGGGACTTCCTGCCCGTCCTCGAGACGAGCGGTCATGTTGTCGTCCGTGGTCATGCTCTTTGACTGTACGACAACGTCAAATCCGGTATAGTTCCGGATGCGGTAAGGGGCATCAACACCACGCGGTTTGCCGAGAACATCCTCGTCCTTGCTAAGGAAAGCAAAGGACTTGGACGCCAAAGCAATGGTAGCTGTCGTGATCGTGACATCAAAGATCTTCTTGGAAGCGACATCAATGGACAAAAGACCTGACTGCTGCTCTCTCGCAATGCCGAATCCGACCTGCCAAGGCTCTAGCAGAGGCTCCCACGCGGACTTTGAAAAGTTGTACACGTTCGTATAAATATCGATCGCAGTTTCAGCCTTGAGGTTCGAAGACCAGTCTTCAGCTGTGGCGGTGAAGTTCTTGATACCCAGGTCCAAGATTGGAAGTTCGTGGACATCGCCAATGAGGACAACACGAATGCCCTCAATTGTTGCCGAAAGTTCCTCGTGGCGCTTAGACTGAGGTTGAACGGCTGTGTTGTTGGGATCGTCGTGGGCTTGCTTTGCTTGAGATGCTGCTACCAAAGCAGTCGTGGACATGATGGTTTTGTTCGCAATGGTTGAAGGGCCCTTGCCACTGGCTGTCCGCTGTTTCAGACCTGCCTGACGCAGCTTTCTTGCCTTCTCGTCCGCTGCCGATGCGCTCTTACTCTCCTTCTGGTCCTTCTGTTGTTGGTCTGACAGCTCGGTCGCCTTGCTTGCGATTTGAAGCGCGAGCAGAATATCTCTTAGAGACAACCTCAAAATCAAGGGCTCAATATCGGCATGGATGCTTGTAATGTTGGGTTTCGAGCTGTCCATCGACATCTGGACTGAGAAGTCGTCAATGAGTCGGAGGCGCGAGTCTTCGAATCGATCCATCCGGCACAAAAACATGCCGATCTCGGACACCTGGAAGGTCAGAGCATGCTGTTG